ATCCAGTATCAATAGGCGGTACTTTCTTCGTGCTTTCTTCTTGGTGTAGCGATCAAACACCTGTCTGAGCCAAGCGAGGGCTACCTCGTTGTTTGTCCAGCCTGAAGGTGACAAGGAAACAAAGACAGAGTGTACTCCTGGCTTGATTTCCTCCACCCAGCTTGACTGTATAGTGTTGTTGGTAGACTCGTATAGGAGGCCTGGTGGCAGTGCCGATCCATCCCCACACACACACGCTATAAGCGTCACCCAGGCACGATTACCATCTTGAGTAGTTGCTGTAACCTCCTTCTTCTCCCACATACGTCTACTGAAGACGTGTTTGGTCCTTGTGGTGACTCCGATCATGAAGCCCTTCTCATCCATATTGTATGTGTGCTCAGCGTCAATGTTGTATTGGGCAATTTTGGACTGCAACAGGTCAAAATAGAGCTTGTACTTGGTATACAAATCGGCGTTGTGGCGATTGCTGTCCATACCCGTTGAGTATTGAGAGATGAGATGGATTGAGTGGTTGTTGATGAAGCGGGTAACCCAGCTCTTGCTGACTGGCTCTGTGGCTATCGATGACGCAAAATTTGCTATCATTTCCCTTGTAGGAGGTAGATGTCGGGCTGTAAGCTCCTCTATATACTTGACAAGCTCGTCCTCTTGTTGTGGAGTGAGCTTTTGTTGTGCAATTGCCTGCTCTTCACGCGATCGCGTTTCTCCTCGGTACTTGCGCGTCAACGTAGAGCGCACAACACCATGCTTTATGGATAATTGCGTCCAAGGGATGTTTTTGCATGGCATCATAGCATCTATCTCTTTAATGGCTTCCTCTAGCGTCATTGTGGCGTTGAGTTATGGTGTTGTGAAGTATGGGTGCATAAAGCGTCTTGGCGCATTGTGCGAATCCGCGCATTGCGCGCACAGACACGGTAATGCAGAGTCCCACCAACATCAATGTCTCCTACACCCACGCGATAAGGCAGAGCTTGTACAGTACATCAGAGGACTCACAGAGAGTCACATACCACCTATGAGACAAATGATAATCAATTTTGCAATGCCTTTATGCCAATGGGAGCCCTCATATAGCTGGGTAACAAGGCTCTTAAAATGGTACCCTAACACACTTATCACGGCCTGGACCACCCCTATGGATACCAATCATCCCGACACTGATGATAGTGAAAGATACCGTGCCTATTTTGAGCTGCTGCATACCAGAATGATGGAGTTTAATGTCCTTCCTGAGAACATATACAATATGGATGAGAAGGGATTCATGATTGGGGTGATTGGTAAGAGCAAGAGGGTCTTTGATAAGGTACTACACAAGAAGAGGCAGTTAAAACAGGCTTCTCACAATGTGTTATGGTTATTTCCCCTTACATGTATTGGCCAGCCCTTGGATGTACTCTGGGGCTGGACCAGAGGCTCACGGGCCACCTGTTTATATTCCTCACAAACCTTGAGGCTCAGCCATCAAGGATTTGTCTAATCTCATCCCATTTGGCCCCAGACGGCCCCAATCCATCCTGTGTCTGATTGCCTGCCTACAGTGACCTCACAATTCAAATCCTTCATACTTCCTCTCGGAAAAGGCAGTTGATTTGACATGGGATTGATACCCAGCCACCCAACAATGGCTGGAGGAAGATGCACCCTTTGGAGTGCTACAAACAACGCAGAAGGGCAATCAACCCGCAAAACTACTGGTCAGGAGCCAGGAGACCATTGCAACAACGCAGGTCAAGATGGCACACCTCCAGCAGAGGCGACGACGCCAACGCATAGTAGCCAGATGACGGGAGACTCAGGGGTTACCCCAAGTGGGCAACCGGCCCATATGACCCTCCCGCTACAACAACGCAGGCAAGAGAGTCAGGAGCCAATTGCAGGAGACCTGCAGGCAACAGTGCAGCAACTGCTGAATGCGCTCAACCACACCAAACTGTCAGGGGCCCCCGCAAGCAAAATCGAGATCCAACAGCGACAATTCAACCGCGCCGTACAAGCCGTACAACGGACCCAAGGCGGACTTGTGCCGGGCAGCAGGCAGCCAGCCTTTGACGAGGCTGGTAGGATTATTCAAGTGTTGAACAACGTCCAACTGAAACCAAAGCTGGGGATGGAAACCTGTCGGGGATTGTGAGTGATCAGTACGCTGTGGGAAGAATTGAAGGATTGAACTGAGGTTGTATTGGGTGAAGCTACAGACAGTACATATAGGTGAGTAGCTGTAAACAGCGCTAGTGTGACGTGGCAGTCACTCTCATGGAGGTGAGGTTCAACAGGCAAGAGCGCCCTGAACCGTGACACACCCCCCAGCTGCTGTAGACTCAGAAGTGGAGAGTCAACAACAGCTGATCAGTATCAGCTCAATGTATATAGATAGCGTCAAGGTCATTGCCGTCAGCCTGTTGCAGGCCTGTCAGGCGCTCAGTGATGTCAACAAGACCAAGTTGATGGACAAACTCTGTGAACTTCTGCTTGGGTAGTATCTTTGTGAGTCTGTCAGCAGGCATACAATCAGTAGAAACCCATTGAACATTGATGCGTGATGCGGTGACCTCCTGTCAAATCCAGAGCTGGTGGATATCAATGTGTTTGACCTTTGTATGGAGCTTGTTGTGCTGCTTTGTGACAATACCGACAGTCTGTTGATTGTCACACCATATTGTAGGTGTACAGTCAAGCGTGAGATTGATGCCAGCAAAGAATCGCATTGTAAGGGTATCTGTGACAGCGAGCTTAGTAACAATGGGGGGTGGTCCCATAAGATTAATTGCTACCGTTTTTCTGGCCATTGTGTGCCCAATTATCTATGCGCTCTCGTCCGTACCACGCTAGCGTCCCGATGGGTTAGCGCCATCGTTCTGACACGTGACAGCCTACTTCCCTACAGCACCATGACCCCGTTACACGCATCCACTCCTCCATCTGTGAGGCAGCGAGTGACAGTGAGAGTAGTTCTGATTCTGTAGTAGATTTTGTGACTGTACATTGGACTGTTGACTTCCAGTCAATCATGAGTCCACCAAATTTGAACGCGTACCCCTGAGAGCTCCGGCGAGTCTCAGGTTTGTCAGCGTACAAGGTGTCAGAGGATCCAAAGAAGAGAGGATCGCAGTATGTTGGATCATCAGTGAGATATTCAGCCATATCCTGCATGCTGGCAGAGGCTTCAAGAGCAAGACCCTTTGTGCTGAGCAGGTAGCGCCAGGTCTGTTGGATCTTGGAGACGTGAGACTGTCCTGGATTGGTGAGGTGGCAGGCGTAGACAACATGTGTACGGGCAACGTTGGGTCTACCCCAGACAGCAATATAAGCAAGAGAACCAACAAGCTGCTGATACAGCTTTGTTTGAGCAGTGTCAGGCTCCTCGGTAGACTGCGGCAGCCAGTTCTCTGTCAGTGGAACGTCTGGAGCCTTGCCCACAGTCTCAATGCTGTATCAAGTGCACACCTTGTCGATAAAGGCATCTTGGACTAGCCAAGTCTTATGCAGTGCTCAATCACGGACGATTTGGATACCAAGAAACCAGGTGAGGTCTCCCATAGCCTTGATGTTGTACAGGTCCACCATCTCTTTCTCAAAAGCTTCATGGAGGTGGGCATTGGATTGATGAAATGCCATAACAATATCATCAACATAGACAAATAGGATGAGCCAGCGGCTCGTATACAGGCATGGGAAGCCTTCAACTGGCTTCAGGTCTAGCCTGATGAGCTCCCAACGTAGCTCATTGTACCATAGAATTGGCAACTCCTTCAAACTATACAGGGCACGGAGTACCAGCATGATCTTGCCTTCCATGTGGCGGAATGCTTCAGGGGTTTCAGCGTACAGCGTTCGGTTGATATTGGCGTTTAGGAAGGCAGTAGGGACATCGTACTGCTTCAGTTCCAAATCAAAGTAGTTGGCAATTGCAATGAGTGCACAAAAGTTGCAAATAGCAAGCATAGCAGCGTAAGTATTGTCCAGTGGAGCTTGAAGGTCTCCTCTAACAACAAGTCAAGCCTTGAATTGTGAGGGATATCCATCACTGTCTGTCTTGTATGTGAAGACCCACATCAACGGTAGTACCTCGCCGTCTGCAGTGGCCTTTGTCTTTGCAGTCTTCTCAAAGACACCTTTGGAGCGTAGACCTTGCCATTCATTGTCCATGGCACGTCGGAACTGATTGCCAAACATATGCGTATCAAGCTGCTTTGCTGTCTTTGGTACAGGGGGCAGCTGCGATTGATGAATCCATGATATATCAGGTATACCAGTGGGTATTGACTGAATCTCAGTTGAGAACATTCGCAAATAATCAAGGAGAGGCCCACGTCCCAGCCTTGTAGCATAGGTCTGTATAGCAAAGTTGTTCAGATCTTTCTGTCTTCAATTGCGCTTGCCTGTGACAATCAGACTGGTATCATTTGGATTGAGGTTGACGTCCTGTGGTGCTCTCTTGCCTCGTTGACGATAGCCATCAGGTACCATTGGAATTGAGTCTGTCTCAGAGAGTCCAGGAGTTGGCAACTGTTGACGTTGTTGTTGTTGATTTGGCTCAGAAGGTTCAGAAGCATTGTCGGTCGTCTCACCCCCCACCTGGGAGTCTGCAGCTCTTGGAGCTGAGGTCGTAGGTGCTATTGAGCGGTGATGTTGACAACTGGTCAACAGGTCTTCAATGCTGATATCATCGTCCTCAGGTATCTCAGGATACTTGAGTAGCTCAATCACCTCCTTGATCACTGATTGAGTAGCGTATCCATCCATCCCTTCAAAGAAGAGTGTAGGCTCAAATACAATGTCGTGGGTGACTACGACAGTGTCCATTGTAGGCAGCCAGATGCGGAAGATGTTGGTACCTTGATATCCCACAAGGTGGCCAATAAGGATCCGTGACTTGAGCTTGTCAGCGGCTCTGAGATTGCGGTTGTAGACATAGGCACAACAGCCTATGGGTCTCATATGGGCAACAAGTGGCTTTCGTCCCCATACAACCTTGTACGGTGTCTTCCAGCCTAGTGCTTCAGTGGGTGTACAATTCAGAATGTACGCGGCAGTGCGATACATCTCATGCAACAGATCTTTTGGAAGATTAGCGTGTATACGCATGGCGCAAGCGCGTTGAGTGAGCATTCCACCTGCGCATTCAATGAGTCCATTTGGCTCCTTTGTACTAGCTGGGGCTGGATCGTACAACATGCCCAGCTCTTCTGTCATGTTGATCAGGTTGTTGCCAAATCCTTTCTCATTATCGCATCAAACAGCGACAACGTCAGCATTGTATACTTGCCAAATGCGACGGACCAAGGCCATAAACCAACGTGTGAGTGTTGTCCTGTCCTTGCGCTTTAGTGTAGAAATCTTGTGCCATTTTGAGTATTCATCCATAGAGTGTAGACAGTACTTGCTGCCATCAATACACTCATCTCCCACAGGGACAATGTAGATGAGGTCTATTGCAATTTGATAGAATGGTTGCTGTGCACGGCTTTCAGCCAGGCGCCTTGAGATGATGTGGGTCATTTGAGCTTCAACACATGTCTGACAGAGACAGTCCATGTGGTTTCCAGTCAATTGAACGCCAGTGACGTTCAGGTCAAGCTGGTCGACAGCCTTTCGACCTGGGTGGCCCCAAATCTGATGGGCAGTACGTCGGTCAACGATGTTGGTAGGCTTTGGTGCGTATGATGGGCGGTACAATGGGCGGTACAATGGGCGATATGACACTCCAAAGGTGCTCAGTTGTGAATGCAATAGCAACAGAGGTGGTCAGTGTGATGGCTCTGCATCAATGAGCCAGTGTCCTCCATTGTAATCAAGTTGCGCAATAATGTTTGAAGACTTGTGCATTTACAGGATGTTGCAGCCAGAGTCAAAGTGAATTGACTCTGTACGACAGCGTGCAAGACCTAGGACGCTTGTGAGGAAGCCTTTGATGTATGCAACGTGCGTCAGCTCCAGTGTCCATAGACCATATGGTGTGCGTGCAACAAGCTTCATTGTACCCCATGCTGTAATGAGAATATGACTATTGCCAGCGTTGATAGAACAATGTTCTGGATTGTTGTTGGTCTTCTTCCAGCCATGCCAGGCTTCTGTGTTGATGACGTGTGTGTTGGATCCTGGGTCAACAATCCATCGGTCAAGAAGCTCAGTCTGGTCAGTGTCGTCAACAGCCATTTGTGAGAGGGGGCCAGCTGGGGATACCAACTGCTCTCTGAGATGGAAGGATTGGTGGAAGGATGGTTCAGGCTTGTTGGAGATAAGGGTGTAGAGGAGACCAAGTGTGGGGATACCACAAGTGGTAAAAAGGATAAGTGATAAAGAAGGGATCAAGTGTGGGAATACCACAAAGGATCAGTGAGGAGTGAGTTGAGGAAGGAGTTGTTGAGGTGAATTGAAGGAGTGGATTATTATTGGCTGCAAGCCATGTCAGGATGACACCATTGTTGTGAGAGCTCCCACAGGCTCAGTGCGATTGTCAATCGCAATAGCGTCATTGTTGTTGTAGCCGAGAGTCATGAGTGATGGGCCAGTCAACACAACAAATGTGCTGCTGTCAGCAGGTGGCCTGCCGTTGTTGACTCGTAACGTCCCAGCATTCTGTGGTTGATGAGCTGTCCACCTCTCAAGAGCTGTCTTGATTCGCGCATTGATCTTTGGGTCTTTCCGCGCTTCCTCAACCTTGCGTACAGCTTCAGCAGCAGGCTGATATGTTGCTGGATGTCCTGGGTGGCGTGTATTGAGGATAAAACAGTCAGTGTACCAATGCTGTTTCCCGCAGATGCAGGTAGGTGTCTGTTGTACACTGTCACGGTGACCTTGGTTGCGTGTTGCTTGAGGCTCGATTGGAGATGCAACACCAAGCTCCGTGGCAGTGACTGCCAGGCCAGTAGAGTGAGGCTTTGTACGGCAAAGGTAGGTAGTCATCTCAGCAACGTACATCTCCAGGGATGAGATCTCAGTGGTGGTGCCTCATGCTTCATGCTTGAAGATCTCACGCAGGCAGGATGTAGCGTACTCTTGATTGAGTGCCTTGCAAGCAATCAGGAAGTCCTCCTGTGGTTGGTTGCTGTCAGTCTCTGGTAGTCCAATGGCCTTGCCTTGAGCTGTTATGTATACCCAGTCAGACAACCATTGTTTGACCTTCTTTGCAGCTTGTGGAGCAGTCTTGAGTGCGTTGTACTTATCAGCAAGCTCACAGTGGCGAGTTGCATCTGTTGGACAAAGGAACTTCTTGAGAGCAACCAGTTGGTCATATGGTGTCTTGAGATCCTTGATCAGGTGTATGTGGCATACAGCAATCGTCTTGCTGATATCCAATTTCAGGTCAGCCAAAGCCTTCTTCTGGGTGCGGTACTCCAAGCAACAGCGCTCCCATTGATCATATTCCCATTGGTAGGACTCTTGATTGTCAGCGTCAAGGTCAGAGAGCTTTGTAGCTCTAGCCTTGTAGTCAGTAAGTTGAGGCTTAGGGGACTCTGTCAACTCAGGGAGATCCTCCTTTGCTCCATCAGGATTGACATATTGCCAGAGATTGTGGCGATCTGCAACGTCTTGACGGATGAATAACCAATTGAACCAATCTTCTGGCTTGTTGAGTATGATAGTGACTCGTGTGACAGCGGGGTCAGACTCAGTAGCCATTGCAGCGGCTGTAGTTGTGTATGATTGGGACCAGGCAGTGTGCATAGTGAGTGAACACGGTAACAGATGCGTTGTGGTGAACGCAGTGACAGGTGCGTTGTGGTAGACGCGGTAACAGTTGCGTTGTGGTGGACACAGTAACAGATGCGTCGTGGGTGAATGCAGTAACAGATGCGCTGTAGTGAACGCAGTAACGGGTGAGAACAATCCTAGGATGCAGCTGGGCTCATAACTGTTGGGGATCGTGAGTGATCAGTACGCTGTGGGAAGAATTGAAGGATTGAACTGAGGTTGTATTGGGTGAAGCTACGGACAGTACATATAGGTGAGTAGCTGTAAACAACGCTAGTGTGACGTGGCAGTCACTCTCATGGAGGTGAGGTTCGACAGGCAAGAGCGCCCTGAACCATGACAAAACCAAACCTCCCACGATGCAGCAGGTGGATCAGTGGATTAAGGACATCAATACAGCCTTCCAATACGCGCAAGTACTGGAAGACTCGGTCACCTGCACCCACTGGATAATGGGGATGATACACTTCAATACCCATAGGGAACTGATCCAACAACAGATCAACAAGGGGTCTATCCGGACCTGGGCCAACCTCCGCTTGGAGGAGGAGCAGCTTGTCCAAGATCCTGTATTCACTTGGTACAAGAACTACGACAAGTTCTTCAACTTTGAGTGGCGAGACAAAGACTCTGTCAACACCTTCCTGATGGAGTTTAACAGACAAGAGTCGCTACTCACATGCAGCTTCTCCGCAACCCCAATCCGACACGCCTTGGCGTAGTCAAAAGCAAGCTGGAAGTGCTGCTGGGTGGTCTCAAGCACCTCAGTGTTGGTGAATTTGTCTCCCCTACGGGCAGCCGCAGAGCTGTGCTTGCAAAGAGCACGATCAATGAGGAAGTCAAGCATGTTGACAGTGCGGCGGAAGTGAGGCTTGATCTACACGGCCGGCTGTCAGACTGCATATATGCTCTCACTGATCTCATGATCCAATGTACAGCAACAGAGTACGCAGAGCACCCTGCATGAATGCTCCCACCGCTCTCACTGCGCTGTCAGATAGCTCGTACAACAGGCGCGGTCTCTCTGACGGCCGGTCTCCCTATGTTCAATAACCACGGTCCCCAGGTCCAATAGTTCCTTCTCTTCTGTACGTGTTTGTAACACAGGGTTACAGTGCCATAGTGAAGTAGGCTGTCACGTGTTGGCATCCGGCTGTACTGAGCTCCAAGGCTTGCGCTAGCCAAGGCGTTAACCGGGCGCAGCCCGTTACACCTATTGCTATTGAGCTTGCTGTCACACATACCCATACACAAACAGAGAAGAGCCTTACAGTAGGTGATGTACAGGATTTGATGGCTAAGAAGGATGGTGGTGGTGAGAAGGCAGCTGAACAGTCTGTGAAGAGGGTGCACAAAGAGAGGCAATGCAGATGTTGTGGCAAGACTGGCCACAATGCGCAAACCTGTACTGCAGAAATTGTAGATCTAGATAATAGCAACACTTCTGAATAGCACTGTAGGCTATAGTTCATTCTTGCACACTGTTGTGGTGTAGCTGTAATAGTCTGTAATAGTCACGATGTTGGTGAGGGGTGGCCGCTCGGTGGGGAAACACGTTACCGCCAATTTCGATTCAACATCAAAGCTTTGTTCAGACAACAAAGGATAGGTTCAAGTCAGGGAGCGGTGGTGGCAGATCTCCGAATATACATTACGGTCGCAATGACTTCTATGTGCTGAATCTATTGGATACACGTTTCTTGTCTCTTTCTCTTTCCTTTGCCGTCTACAAGGCGTTCACAGCAGCAGCGCCAGCCAAAGCGAGCAGCGCAGCACCCTCGATGCCGAACCTAGCAGCAGCGCCGGTGCTTTGGGGAAGAGCGCTACTGGCAGTGGCAGTTGCAACGCCTGAAGCGTGGCTTCCAGCAGCAGCAGTAACGCTTGTTCGCATTCCAGAGCTTGCAGCAGCGGCAGAGCTCTGTGGAGCAGAAGCGCTGGCATTCGCGCTTGCGGCACTAGCACTTGCAGATGCGCTCGCAGTTGCGCTTGCGCCACCGCTCAGCAACTCAGCACCCTTGACGACTGTAGCGGTAATGAAGGCGACTTCAGTTCCCGACAGCACGGCTGTTTGTGCATCCTCGCCAGACATTTCGGCGGTGCAGGTCATCGTGTTGGCCTTGGAATCGTAACCGTCGCAGCCGTAGCTCACGTACACAGTGCCGGCCGACATGGAGGCTTCGTAACGGGTACCGCCAATGATCTTGACGTCGAGGCCAGCGGCGAAGCCGCACTCGTCAATGGGTGTTCCCGTGGTGCAGGTCATAAGTGCCGATGTTGTCGAAGGATTCGCCGACTCGATGGTCGCAACAGGGGCAAGGCCATCGAAGCCTTGAGCGCAAGTTAGATCAGGGTCTCAAGGCTGCGGTGCTTTGAATACGAACCTCCGGGGAAGACGAATGACACGACATCGTCAGCGTACGCCGCACCGGCGAGGAACGAGAGGATTGCAATAGATTGGCGCATGTTGAACAATCTGCACGAATTCTCCAGATACCAAAGATGCTTGAAAAGAGCGTATGGGTTTTCGTGACGTATTAACGAGGGACGTCGAAAACGAATTGCGAGCACAACAACGAGTGAAGGAACGAGTGGTGGGTAAGGCTTGAGGCGTTCCGCTTGCTCTTGTGACGGCGACGCTTGCTTTTATCGTCCCCTGAACCGCGACGCTTGTCCTGAGGCTTCAAGTGGGCGCCTGAAACCTAGAGCCGAACCATCCTAGCTTCCACGCGAGATCATCAAAGCTTGACGCGAAATCCTGTGAACGGCATCAATGCGCGAATGACAGCCTCCATATGAACGTCTAGATGAAGGTGCGTGAGTCGTGTGACAGCCGCGGTGAGAGTAAACAATAGGCAGCACAGCGAAATGGGACGGTTTGAAGGCTATCGTCGACATTACATACTTCATTCCCGAGCCGCCCAACAGTCCAGAGCCAGCAACAACAACACAGGGCGAACCTTCATCTCTTCTCGAGCCATCGAAAGAGCAGCGCAAGCTTATTGCGCCCCTGGGCGTGTGTAAGCTTGCGTGACGTCAGAAAAAACATTGTATGCTGCAGTGGTACTGTGTAGAAAGCGTGTAAGAGTGGACCACGCAGCTGGGACTTCTACGGGCGCTAGTGAGCTGTCAGGTACGGAATCTCATGACAGGCCGATATCATCAAACCTACAAAAGCGGAGTTGGGTTATCGGTGTGCCATCTCTCCACTTCAGGGCTCATGGCCCGAGCAACCCGCCAGCACGCACAGGCGCTCCCCATCACCCACAAACTCACCAGACACAAGGCAGCAAATGCCCCCATGAAACCTCTCACAGCCAGTTGTCCAGGAATTGCAGGCCATTTCATCCAATCATCTCAGCCATCAGCCTAGAAATAACGGAACCAAGTATCGAAAGGCCCCAAAAATGGATCTGATGCACGGGGGGCCTCATCCTCTTGATGCCTTAGGGCTGACCGGTGAAGAAGCCAGCCCCACGATAAAGGTACATCAACCCCACCTGTAACTCTCACTGTTCGTACGGACGAACGCTCAACACAACTATTTGGACCTTCATCTTTCTTCACCTGCCTATTCTGCGGTTTCCTATACTACTCCGAGTACGTTCTCGCGAACATCCTACCGATCCCTTTTGCTCTTCCCAGGATGCCGTTCCTACTTGCCTTCCCTTGCAATGCATCGCCTCGCCTCCGTGGGTTGCAGATCTGCCAGCTTGGCGTCGTTAGTTTGACGACGGTGCTCACCTTCCTCGCTGCCGTGATCCCGAGCAAGCACAAGGCATTCACGTTCTCGCTCCTGTACGGCTTGATCTTGACGAGCATCACCACCTCGATCTTGATCAACAAGGAGCAGAAGGCTGCCACGCGTGGCATCTTGACAAAGGACAAGTATGTCAAATACCAGTTTTGGAAAGTTGCTGGAGGCTTTGTGATGTACTTCATCGGCTTCATCGCCTTCGTTGCTTCGCCCGGTGGCAACGAGAAGCTGAGCAGGAACGAGAACGGACTCGTGATCAACGGTGTCAAGGTGAACACTCTGCAGTCAACCATTTTGTGGCTGAATACTTTCAACTGGTAAGTTTGATCACACCGAGCATATATCCGACTCTACGGACCGAATGCTGACTCCAGGAAGGATCTTCATGTGGGCCAGCCTGTTCTACTCCTGCTGCATGACCAAGCTCGAGACCGGCCCGATCCGTCTTGAAGGCGAAGAGGCGAACATCTCGCTGGGTCGGGACGATACCACTAATGACGAGGCGTATGCTAGGCGTCTGCAGGCTCAGGATCCCAACTGGCAGGCTTAGACAAAAACTTGCGTGGCACAATCAACCACAAACCGGGGACTAGGGTTACTTAGACGATGGGGAGGTACTATGCAATGCAGTACAGGATGTAGAGCATGAGGGCGGTGCGCTATTATGTTTGTGATGGCGACATTGGTAGTATGCTATGAAAGTGCACACGAGTTACGATCAAGTATAGCATAAATCTCACGAATTTGGCCGGATGAGATTGGGCATGTGCCTATCCTCACTTTTTCATTGCATGCATCTTTGTTCTGAATATCTGTGATGGCCGGTGCAGAAAGGCAACATACAATTAAACATAATACAATAGCTCCTTAGTAATGCTGGAAGATATTGGGGAACGCGCGGACTCCACTCGATACGTCCGCAAGGAAGATGCAAAGTTGTGTGCAGATATGCAAGGTGCTAGATGTCCCTGTTCCGGTTTACAAACTGTCAATACAATCACCGCGAAGTTTGGGAGAGAACATCAAGTATCAGTACAGCAGCACATCGCATCGCATCTCACTCCTCATCGAGTTATCGAAACATCGGATTCTATGTGCAATTACTATATTACACCCTCTCTGCCCTTGACCACAGCCTCCTCCATTCAAATCTATCACTCACCACCTACAAAACAAAAGCAGCCAACCCAAACATACCAGCAGCAACAACATTCACCTGCACAGCCGCAGCCGCACCCGTAAACTCCGGCAAGTGGCTGGATGTAGCAGAAGGAGGCGTACCGGTACCAGAAGGCGCCGGCACCGACGGCGCAGGAGTATCAGTAGGGTACGGAGGAAGCACGCCGGGAAACGAAGTCAGGTGGGGCGAAGGGCGCGACACAATGACGGTGTCGACGAGGGAGGAGAGGGGGATGAGATCCGAGTAGGAGGAGGAGACGGAGGGGACATCGTCGGTTGCATAGGTGGGTGCTGGGGAGGTTGGTATTAGGAGGGAAACGGTGAGGGGGAGGGGGACGGACCTGAGTACTCCGAGGCAGTCTCGGTGGCAGTTGGGTATTCGGAGTACTCTGGCTCTTCGGTCGCATAAGGTTGCGTCTCGACAGAAGCCTCAGAGCTAGTAGGCTCAGGAGTAGGCTCGGAAGTAGGCTCAGCAGCGGCCGAAGACGCAGGTGGTGCTGGGACCTCAATTGGGAAGCCGGCAGCCGCGCAGATACCAGAGAGGACTTCAATGGTCTTTCTCTGATCGGCCGCGTCGGTGCAAGCCTGTTGAACACAGGGCGTAACGACTGGAGTGAGCTGGTCGGCCTTCTGGCACGAGCAAGCAAAGTTAGTGAGGCCGCAGTTAAGACCACCAGTGGCGGTAGCAAGACATTGCAGAGAGCATGCTGGCAAGTCGGTGATTGTTTGGGCGGCGGCAATGGCTGTGAGGGTGGTGAAGATGAGTGTGTTCCTCATTGCGATGCTGTTTTGCTAGGCTTAGTAAAGACTGGATGTGAAAGCTGACCACTAATGAAGAGCGAAAGAGACGACGACGACAATGAGGCAGTTTATACTGCAAAGACTGCAGGGTAGGTTGTTGATCAGTACGTTGCATCCTATGTATTGCCTGCACTTTCAGTCTTCATTGGGAATCATACAAAGATCTGCGCCGGAGATTACCAGCCAAAAGAAGCAGGCGGTTCCATTCACGGTATGCGGCGTTCTCGTGATCGCTACCAGTCAACACCTCATGCTGTGCAACTTTTGACAACCGTGTCTCGCAAAGAGAAGTCCGCCCAAACTTTTGTGTAATGGGTTGCTAAGGAATTGATTGGCTGTTGTCCGGTTATTGTTGTTGAGTTGGAGATCCGGGGTCGTACGACACGCATGCAGGATCCAGGCGGTAGCGTATCGCATGTGAACAATGGTACAAACATGCGGCGGACGAGAACGAGTGGCCAAGAATAGTCGCTTGTGCCACGTTGACGTGGACTCTCGTTTGCGGCTCCCGGTGGCAAGCGATCAGTGTCCGACACCGAAAGTCTGGCCAAACTCTGTCCTGTTCGAAGTACATGAGCGGGAACATCAGATACAATGCACGTGCAGTTGAACTGTGTATTGCCTTGGTGGTGTCTGGGGAAACCTATGCCTCCCGCCTCCGCATTGCACGGAGATAAATTCTTGGCGTTCGCCCAGGGTGTGCAGGGTGTGCGATAACTTCTTTCGCAATTGTACGCGGAGTGTCGTTATCCTGTTGTTTCGATCCTTGGGAGTTCGCTCACGGAAGACGTAAGACATGCAGCAGATTGGTAGTATGATTTCTGCAACACTTCCTTTAAGATGGGCGCAATACTGCGGGTGATGGACGGGTCAAATGCGCCTCTTCTTTCCCAGACGATGAAGTCTGCAAGTTCCTGATACTTGATGTATCCTGCTCCTCCTCATCACTTCTTCTCCAGTTCACATTAGCCCACGCCATACTATCGTTATTGCTGATGAAGCTCGATCCATCATAGATCTCCTGCTCGTTCCTCTGCCTAGACTGCTGCATCTCCAAATCCTTCGTCGGCCCACTCTGCATCCTGAAATCCTCAGTCTTCAAAATCTTGTTCTCCGTGAGCGGTGCCCTCGGCTGCTCACGACTAAATACGCTCTTGAGCATAGATATTGTCTGGTGGGTAGGCGGTAGCGAGTCTGAGTCTTGCGTGGAACATTTGAAAGCACTATTGTACGAGTTTGGGATGATGAACAGGTCACTGTTGCGTGAGCGATCCATTGCAATCTTCTTGATTAGGTGCGCCATTGACATCTCGATGTTGAGCTTCACAAGGTAGGCTAGTGGGTGGAAGATGGCATATCTAATCACAGAGGTCAGCCTCGTGATCGTAATTCAAGTGTGTTTGGGTGGCTATCGTGAGCAATGAACTTACACAAATCCGTTTGGGACCCACATCGCGGCAATGATCATGACGTCCATCAGCAAAGAGATGACGACTATGCGCTGGTTAAACATGACAAGCCTGTTGTATTTCTCAAGACCGTTCTTGACAAGGTTTGCTCTGACTACTCGCATGAAGTAGAAGTTGAGAAACCCGTCAATGAGCAAGTATAGGACCTTTTCGATTCGATCCCAGATATTGTTGATGTGAACCCACCTTGCTCTGTTAGTTGTACAGTCAGGGAGAATATGGTCGCGCCACTTACTGATTGCTGATCTGAAGGCGTGCAGGCATCCATATGCAGAATACACTGATGTTGATCAGTGTGACGATAATGGCAGTACCGATCATGAGGAGACGGCCTTTGTGTCTGTCGGCCAAGATGATGCGCACTCGATTGATGATGATTTGGAGGAGTAACTGCACTTGAATTGACCAGTTCAACACTGCAATCGTTAGTCATACTTCTCATCATCCAGAGCAAAAGCAAGCAACTTACAAATTGACATGTAGAACCAGAAACTCGGTCTGATTGCTTTCAACAGGTACAGCAAGCACTCAATCGCGATCACGAAAGATGCAGCTAATTCCAGCCATATCATCCAGATGTATGCACTCCTCAACGGATTCCGACATGCTCTTGTTTGCCTGTAAGCGATGTACGCTGCTGTAATGGCGAAGAAATTTGCAAGACCGAAAACCAAGCTGGCGACAATGATCGCTCCCTCCGTGACCGGTTGGATATAGTAGTCATCGCGAATGAAAGGGCCCCATCCTGTGAAGGTCGGATCCGGATTTAACTCAGTGTTCCAGCCCATGATGGCGAACTCAGGTCGGTATAGATATCATTGACTACGACTACAAGGCTATGCAGTGTGTCGTTTGATGTATGGGAGCAATGGTAGAAAGTGGAGACCAGAGGCCAGCTGCAGATGCGCTCGACCATATCCATCGACTTTAGACAGATGCAAGCTCCGATCCAGACGCTATGACGCTACCCCGCGATCTGCACTCGTGCATATGCGAACAAATTAGCAAAGGGCCGGCTGTTGAGACGGGAAGGCTCCTGATCGCCAGAAACATCGCCGAGAACATGTGGACCGGTGTTAGCTCGCATTCACGATGAACTTTACGATAGAGATGCAGCTTCCCATCGTGACACTGTAGACAGCAAGAGTTGGACCACGTTCATCAAACCACTCTACATTCTTTGGCTATCGACTTGTAACACAGATCATCAGTTCCACCGACACGATGTGTGAGCGTGGGCCAGATGCAAAGCCGAACCATGAAAGTTTTTCAGGATCAGACAGGGCTGTGAGACAGGGTTGCAAGCAGGAGCAGGTCGACCCGTGCGCGAGCCATCAAAAATCCGAGAAAAAGCACTTCCAAACGAACGGTGAACAATCGGTGTCGTCAGAATGATGGTGTTGTGAGGAGGCAGGAAGGTGTGACGAGCGGAGGATCCGAGGGTACAAGTGCAAAGATCTCGTGTGCAACAAATGCCTTGCCATCAACGGAGAAGCTGATCAAATGCTATTACATGCTAATACGTGCGAGATGACCGACAAGTACGACGTGGTTGGGCTCAAAGCAATCTGTATCGAGAAGCACAAGCGCGCATGCCTCGAATTCTGGAACCACCCAAAGTTCGCTGAGTCCGCCTACCACGTCTACTGCACCAGACCTAATCGCGACGAGGGTTTGCGCAACATCGTGTGCAAGACGATTTCCGACCATTTGAAGCTGCTCGAGAAACCAGAAGTGGAGGATCACATGACGGAGTTCAATAGACTGGCCTTTGGGTTGCTCTTCGACAATGCAGGGCAGGCGGGATGGTGCAGCTAGTGAGGTTCGACCCGCCATATCGCACTGAAGTACCCTATGACTCACCGAAGTTGAGAGAGTGACAGCCTCTCATCTTCAAGGACATCCAGCAAATGATGGTTCTGCGAGGACAACTGGTCCTGTACGGCGAAGATGAGGCGAACCTGTCCGATACAACGTTAATGTGGCGGCGTGGGCCGCTGTAATACACTGATAGCGACGGTAAACGATAACGTAGGACTATTGGGTCGATGGAATACTGCGCTTAATTGCTATCTAGCTAGGAGAAGGCGACTATATACTAGCCCTGGAACGTGCTAGTCCAGAACAGTCTAAGCAAGGGTAATCGAGTCTCGTACGGACCGACTACCGCAACACTCCCCAGCTGCCGTGAGCAACAAAGCTGAACTGTACTTGTCTAGTACCATCCTGTGAGCCCTGCTGGATCTGGTATCTCAGGGTCCTGTGTACGTCCTACAATGTAGTGCTCTACGTTCTCTAGACCTAGCTGTTCCACAAACTTGTGGTGTGTCTGTCTTACTAGCGTCATTGTAAGTCCTTCTGCTGGTATGCCTGCTGTTGGACACCAGACAACGTGTAGACGACTGTGCTGTACCTCCTGACTTAGCCACATCTGGTGTGTGTCAACGTGACATTGTTTCATGTGTAGCCTGTCCTCCTGCTTCGTGGCTATGCCTACTGTCTGCTCATTGCCATAGTAGATGACAGGTCTCACATGCGGGCTGAATTGGATGTAGTTGAACACTCTGTTCCACCAATCCATTTCCCCTGCAGCTACCGACAGGGCTACCAGCTCTGCCTTTGTGGTAGACTTTGTGACTGATCGTTGACGCGTTGCCTTCCAATCGATACACATCCCGCACAGTTTGAACATGTACCCATAGGAGCTCTCTCGGGACTCCTCATCGTCAGCAAATGCTGCGTCAGATGCTCCGTAGAACTTCGACAGATCATCGATCTGGCTGATGTACATTGTGTTGTTCCTTGCTCTGTTACATGCTTCAATAGCAAGGTACTTGGTACCAACCAGGTATCTCCACGTGTGCCTTGCGGCTGCTAGGTGCTTCTGCCCAAGATTCTGTATGTGACTTGCTAAGGCTGAGTGTGCTCGTGACACATCAGGCCTTGTGAAGGTCAATATGTAGGCCAGTGATCCTACTAGCTTACGTCTGTGTACGGTTGACGTTCGGCTCTTCTTGAAGATAGCTCTCAGTCAACGGCACTGCTGGGTTTTTCTGACGTCTGTGCCAGGTCAAACTTCGCTGACACCTTGTCAATGAACGAGTCTTGTACTAGCCATATGGCCCCTGTTGTCCAGTCTCTTACTACGCGTACGCCCAGGAACCACTTCGGGTCTCCTAGACTCCGTACGTCGTATGCTGCCTTGAGTTGCTTCTCAAACTGACTGCGATGCTCAAGCTGCTGTGGGTGTACTAGGACGACTATATCGTCCACGTAGAAGAACACGACCAGTTGATCGCTAATGAACAGGCACGGCACGTCCTTGATCGGCCTTAATCCCAATATCACCAATGTCCCTTTCATATGCTTGTACCACAACTGTGGCGCGTCCTTCAGACCATACAGAGCTCTTCAGCTCCAGTAGTTCACCCACCTGGCTTACAAACGGCTCTGGCGTTCGTACGTAGACTAGTTGTTCTAGTGGCGCGTTGATGAATGCGTTGAGAACATCGTACTGATATGCGTGAAGGCCAAACGCAGCAGCTATCGCCATCAAGAGTCTGAATATACGTGCTGCTGGCGTAGCCGCGTACGTGTCTCCCCACTCATCCTGGATGTCACCCCTGACAACTAGTCTTGCCTTGTACTTGTACAGGTACCCGTCTTCATCGAGTTTGTACGTGAACACCCACGTAAGTCGCCGTCAACGTACGACTGGCTTAGCACCTGCTCAATCTCCTGCTTTTCATGTGGCTTTGGGATGTTAAGGATTGTTGCTATCTCACGTAGCCTCCATCGGTCAAAGTGAACCTCCTCTGTCCCACTGTCAGACGACACGAATACAACGTCTCGTGTCCGTACAATTCGCTGCAGTGTAGGCATTCACGCACGTGTCCGTAGAGTCGTAGCCAACTAGCTGTCCTACCAAGTCCCGTGATTGTAGCTTCTCTACAAGCTTCAACTTGGTGTTCAGTACGTATGCTCTGAATCCAATGACGGCTAGGTGAGCCACTGTTGGCTTGTGTCTTTGTACAATCTCATACGGCGTTCTCCAATCTAGGGCTTCTGTTGGAGTACGATTCAGTAGGTATATGGCTGTCATACAGCACTCGTTTGTCAGTTCCATAGGCAGGTCTCCGCCGATTCGTATTGTTCGCCCTCTGGTGGCAATGGTGCTTCCAACTTGTTCTGTTATACCGTTCTGTTCCTCAGTATACTCGGCTCGTGGTTCCACAACGATTCCGAGCTCTCTGAACATCTGGAGCATCTCACTGTACCCACGGTCACTGTACAGTCTCGCAGCTGACACATCAGCGTGATACTGACGTTTGGTCTTCGCTAGTAGTTGACTAGCTGTACGCTTGAGATTAGTTGAGCCCTTATCTGGTAGGCAGCAGGCCTTGTGCCATGGCTGTACTGGTCAACAACGTGGAACATCCACAGATCACCATTGTAGCAGCGCTCTGTCTTCTCATGTAGTTGGACAAGATCAATACCCAGTCAATAGAACGGGCGTCCAATAGGTCCCCTCTGTGGCCGTCGGCTTACAAAGTTGTGTAGCTTGCCTGTACGCAGACCTCACACTCCTTCCACTGTAGTGCCTCAGGATGTTGATCAATCTGTACGCCGTCGACGTGGCCATCCAATTGAGCTACTGCTTTCTTGCTGATATGCCCAAACAGGTTGTGAGTGCCCTTCTGGCTAACTACTAGAGGCTTTCGATCGTCTCATGATGGCATTGGTACTGCGTGGCGTGTTACATATACTGACAGCAGAGCTGGTTGTGGTGCCTGCTCCCTCTCATCGTCGATCAACCAGTGTCGGTCCTGGTACTGTAGTAGACAAATCACGTTCGATACCTTCTCTTGATACAGGCAGCCACGTCCTGAGTCGAAGTGTACTCCTAGAGGTCTACTGCGTGACAGTACTACTACACTTGTGAAGCATCCAAGTATGTAGGCCACGTACGTCAACCTCATCTGACTCCGTCCTGTTGAAACTTTGACGTTGAGTACAACCTCACCCCACTCCTCTATCTGAGCTAACACTCCGCCTGCGTAAACGTAGTCCGTGGGCTTTCCTCTCTTTGTTGTAGTCCAGTTGGGCCCCTTCGTGTTTGTAAAGTGACAGCTTGAACCTGGGTCCAATATCCAGAGGCATAATACGCGTCGTATCGATTTTCCTGTGCTTATTGGCCTGTCTGGTTTGGTTGCAACCCCTAATGTTGCAAATGTACCAAGCGATGACACAATTGGGTGCTTACGTCGATAGTAGAACCGGAATTCAGCCACAAGTTCTGCAGTTGACGCGTACTGTTCCCCTCTATGGTCCTTCCTGATTAGCTCCTGCAGCTGTGTCGCTGTCTAACTGTCATCAAGGCCCCTGACCGATATTATGAAGTCCTCTTGTGACCGATTACCGTCGATCTCTGGCATTCTAGCCTCTGTCAGAAGTCTGATTATCGTCACCCATTCGTCGAACCAGGCATCCAGGTTGCCTTTATCGGGCTTGTACACACAGTCCTGTAACAGCTACGCAGCTGGTGATTCCTCTCACTTACTGATGGACAGAGGTGCTTCTTGAGCGTCGTCAGCCGGCTGTACAGATCTGTACAATTGACGATCAGGTCAAGATGCTTGACATCAATCGTCCGAGCAATCTCAGCTTTGAATTCCTTTAAAGCCTTCTCTTTCTGCAGCCACCGTGCCTCCTCACGCTCAAATTTCCTTGCCCACATGCTGTGGACAGAAACCTCTTCAGCAGATAGATCTTCAATATCAACGTCCTGCTTTTCAGATAATTTTTTATTCTTAAACCTCCAAATAGGCCTCTCCTGTGGCTTCTCATGTTGTAGCTGTTTAAACTCTTCTCCTGATAGCCCTGGGTTGACGTACGGCCACATGCCGTCTCTGTTTGCTGTGTTTTTTCTCACAAAAAACCACTTCTCCCAGTCATCAGGCTTGCTGAGTATAACTGACGTCTTCGTCACTAGCTGGTCCTGCTCATACGCACTCATTGTGCTCTCTCAGGACGTGCTCTGTCTGACGCTTGACAATCGAGATGGTTCTGTGTCAAACCGCGGTCGGTTTTTCTGAGAGTACGGTCTACAACTAGCTGTATAGGCTGTAGATAAACGGGTGAACGCAGCGATTAACTGAAGGCTTCCGGGCTCATAGCTGTGGCGGCGTGGGCCGCTGTAGTACACTGATAGCTACGGTAAACGATAACGTAGGACTATCGGGTCGATGGAATACTGCGCTTAATTGCTATCTAGCTAGGAGAAGGCGACTATATACTAGCCCTGGAACGTGCTAGTCCAGAACAGTCTAAGCAAGGGTAATCGAGTCTCATACGGACCGACTGATACCGCAACAGTTAAGCACAGAGTCACTACACATCCTTGGAATGCATTAGTGAACTTGTTCTATTGTCGCCTCTTCACGCTGTTCTGAACAATTTGGAAGGTGCAGGCGCGGAAATTAGTGACTCAATGGTTGCTTCCTTTCACCTTGAGTGCCCGTTTGCTACTAGCGACCGGAAAATTTCTTCCCGCCCTCGCCCTACAGACAACTGAGGGCGTTGTGTTCTCGACTTCATCTTCTCACACTATAAACCTTCTCCGTTACAGCCATGGTGACTACTTCACAGCTGCAAGTGCTGACTTCGGTCAAAGGGTAAATAAACTCGCTGATTGTCATGCGGTCATTGAGCTTGTCGACTAACCAACATGCAGCTTGCTCGCGTCAGGGCACCTACTAGGGCCTCACCATTACAGCTGGCAGCGACGCGTACAAGGTGCACAAGAACATCGTCTGCGAAAGGGCTAGGTTCTTGACGCGCGCAGTCAAATCCGGTGGACAGGTAAGTAACTTCAGACATATGCGAGAGACATGGCTTGTAATTGTGCGGTAACTGAAATTCACCAGGAAACTCAGACCGGAACCATCGACCTACCCGAGGACGAGCCAGAGTTGGTGAAGCTCTTTATCAAGTACATCTACGAAGGCGAGTATGAACCCGCCCTGACGGCAGACGATTTGCAAGCCATAACAACGACTGTTTCATCCACCAAACCCGAAAGAGAACAAAGCAGCAGACCAATGACATTGTATTTTCTCATTTCTGTATTAGTAGGGACAGCGGGTGGGATCACCACTGTGCTACGCCTCAAGTCTGCCCACAACCATACATGTGGCATTCAATGCAACTATGACTGCACCAGCTTCACCCGCGTAGAATGCACCACTCCACCTGTTACATCGATCCAGGGCGAAGCCTATCAACTCCTCATCCATACAAAGATGTACGAAATCGGTGATAAGTACGATGTTGTTGGGCTCATGGATCTCTTGAAGGAGAAATTCAACCGCCCTTGCAAGCGCTTCCGGACCACTTTAGAATTCCCGGCTGCAGCATATCATACCTTTTCAACAACGATTGAAGCAAACAACGGTCTCAGAGACCCTGTGAGTGAGACGATTTCGGAGCATATGGAACTTGCGGAAGAGCCTGAGGTTCGGATACTGCTGAAGCAGTTCAGCGGTCTGGCGTTCGGCATCCTGGACGCGAAGATCAAGGGGCATGGTTGGGGAAAGAAGAAGTGACTATGACCACAAGGATACAGTGGTATCGTAGCCTATCGGCTCGCGATTTCGTTGAAGGTGGAGGTACAATATGCATGTGCATCGAGGTGTCCAGCGACTTCGAGTGCCCTCAGCCTGCACTGCAGCACTGATATCGATGCTTCAGCAAACATGGTTTCTGAGAAGGTTAAGGCTCGGGAGACAGCAAAGCGAAGCGTTCGTAATATTTCTGAGATAGCGCAAATGTGAACGAATGAGTAATTGTGTCGTTCACAGTCATGCCTGTACTCCGGCACACCCCTCCACTGCTTACGGCTGAGATACCTCAGCAAGCTCAGCTTCGATCACGCTTTCAGCTACACCAGGGTATGTGTACACCTTTACAAAGCTCAAGCCTGCTTTCTCGATGATCTCTTTCCAGTCAGCTTCTGTCCTTTCACGCACAGACATGTGAGCCAACATCATCATGTCCATTGATGTGGCAGCTATCGTAGGATGTTCCTCAGACAGTACAATCTCGTTGAGTAGTACGCGCGAGTACCCCGGCGTCAGCGCTGGCTTAAGGTTCTCCAGGATCTTGACACCACGTTCATCATCCCAGTCGTGAAGGATTGAGTGAAGAGAGTATGCTCGTGCGCCCTTTATCGGCTCTGGTGTGTAGAAGTCATGAGCCTGGCATTCGAAAGGCAGCCTTTCCTTGTCTGCAATACTGGCAACCACCGGCTCGCGATCTTGCAGGACGACCTTTCCAGGGTGTTGAGGGTGTTGCGCAACGAACATAGACATGTCGTGCCCACGGCCACCGCCGACATCAACGAGCAGAACTTCGTTGTTGTTGGGTTCAAAACCCTCGACCAGACGTTCAGTCACAGGGTAGAAGCCAGGGTCATACCAGTTGGGCTTGCCAGCTCTGTAAGCGGACATGAAGGCATCGAACTCAGCGAGATGTGGCGGCGTAGCAACCAGCCAGTCGAAGAAAGCTAGGTCGCTCTTGTGAGCTGCTTGGAAGGGTCCAGTTCTCAGGTCGGCTGGGGTCTTGTATCCGTTTTCTTTGAAGAACTTAGGGAAGCCGTTAAATGAAGGCCTAGCAACATCGTAACAGAAATCGATGCTCTGTTGGTACCGCTCTTCTGCGAGTCCGTTGCTGAGAGTGGTAGCGTAGAAGTTGCCGTTGGAGAAAGTAACAAGCTTCATGGCGTTGAGATGGTGCATGATGCGCTGTAACAAAGATGTCTCCACGCCAGTCTTGTCAGCGACGGATGAGAGACTGAGGCCTGCATCACCTGCATCTCTGAGGTGCTGGAAGAGCTTGACATTTACAGCGAGTTTGCAGTGTGCGGAAAGTGCTGGCTTGATGTAGTAAGCAAGTGTACGTACTCCAGGACCATGACCTTAAACTCACTTCAGCCCAAAAGCTTCTTTGCAAAAACTCGCTAGGTATCTCGAGTGCGGCAACGAGGTCGCGACCCAGGTCGATCAGTGTTTCGCGAGATCCTCGCTCATCGCCTTCGTAGGATTTACCTGCAGCTGCAATGCGTTCTAGAATTGATGATACTGGTGTTGCTGCCATCTTGGATATGCGTAGAAGTACTTTGGAAAGAAGGATTCGCAAATCTCAAAGACAACGGACCTGGGCCTGTAGTTATGGCATTTTGACTGATATGGACGTTACCTACCTGTCCCTAGCGCACGGCGTTCTCCAGAGTGGAGGTCTAACAGCGCACGTATCTACATTATGGCGCCAAGGTTGGTGTAGGTATTGACCCTGCTAAGGTAGCATTCGATGTTTTTGCGAGTCATTCATTTCGAGGTCCAAAGATCGGACTGCACAGCGACGATTGCGATGCGGACTGCACAACGACAACAATTGCGATGTTGGTGGATGCATGTGCTTCACGCAGAACCTCTTTCGCGCCAGCGTCGAACGTGCGCAGCCGTAACTGGGAACATCTCCGTGTCCTGCAGCGACGTGGGACGGTGCAATGGATGTCTCGGGCCTTGCATGCTTTTGGGTGGCAGAAGGATCAAGCCCTGGTTTGCATTTGCAAGAAGACACGAAGGCGGTTGATCCTTTGAAAACGCCGACCGCCGACGTCGTCAACCTTTTCACTCATTCGACCTCATCTTCATTCCCACTGCCATCGTCTTCATCACAAATCACACAACTCCGTATGCCTACCAATAATCGAAGACCCCATGGGCGGTCGTCGGACGGGAGGCGGGTAGGCTGTGCGAGTGGAGCCAGCGCGGCACACCGTGCGGCTCCAATGTTGCCTCCCGTTCTGTCCTGATCAGACCCACATGCTGCGGAGCGTCCCTGGAACCCCACATCTGCTGATAGGAGACATCTCGACGCGTGATCACCCCTTTGTGAGAAGTGATGAGAAGATCAGATTATCAGCTTGTGTGAAAACTGTGTTCACTGCGCAGTTAATCAGCGCCAACCATCTGTGCCAGCCTGCTCCCGCTGCACCTTCTATGAAACCATAGGCAACGAAAAGGATCCAGTGGGTTCGAAGTCTGGTCTTGTCTTGAAACAATGATATACAAGCTCTGTGTCACTAGTTTGCAGCCACCCAAATTGGGTCTGCAGTCCGATCAGGTGCTGTGGACCTGAATTGTCCGGATATGCACGCTTGCATTACTGCGCTCCTACCACCAACCAACATGCTGGAACGATGCTCCCTCGACAATCCTTTGCTCTGGCACGTCTCTGCTTTCTCTGCATGAAGGATCGATCACCTTGACCAAGTTTTGCCAGGCCATTCACCCGCCATGCTGGAACAACGCGCGTGGGGGGACCTTAATCTAGATAGCATGCTTCTTTCGCTCTTGTACCACCATCGCAACTTTCTTTCAACGTCTCCGCAAGATGGCGATTGAGGCCGTCGACCTGACTGAGAACAGACAGAGCGAAATTCTCATCGTCGCCTGGGTCACGACAGGAGCTGCCCTTGTGACAGTGGTTATTAAGCTCTTCACTCGACTTCGAATCATTAAAGTGATTGGCTGGGATGACTTTTTCATCGTATTCTCGATGGTACGATCAAACAGACAGAAGTACAGTGCTGGAGCACGCTGACCTTCCAGGCAGATGCTAAGCATCTGTGCCTCCTCTTTCGGTCATTATGGGGTGCACCTGGGATTCGGAAAACACACCGCTGCAGTGGTCGCTGAGCATGGACACGAGCACTTATCTAAGACTGCGAAGTACCAGATGTTGGGTTACCGTATGTACATCACCTGGACTTAGTGAACCCCCATGCTGACACACATGTAGCTTTCAACATTGGTAGGTTGAATCTTGTGCAACCATGGGAGTTGCCTCGTTGACCAACATCTCCTTCAGGTGCTTTCAGCTTTCCCAATCTAGCCATCACCATACTCGTTTGCCAGCTACTCGATCCAAATCCACTTCGAACGCGACTTCTATACGGCATGACCATCCTCCAGGTCATTTTCGCCATGATCACAGTAATCCTAGCGTTCGCACAATGCACACCCACCCAGAAGCTCTGGGAGAGGACTATGCCAGGAAATTGCTGGAGCCCCAATGTCCTGAACTACTTTTCGTACTGGCTGTGCGCATACACTACACTCACGGACTTCGTGCTGGCAATCGTCCCTGTCGCCGCCTTCTGGAAGCTCCAAATGAAGCGATCCACTAAGATCGGTCTGTGCATTCTGATGAGCATGACAATGCTGTCAGCCATTGTTACCATCATTAAGGGCACTTACCTCCATCTTTTTACGGACACCGTCGACCCATGTAAGTATACGTGTGGTTCTTATAGAATCGGCGAATACTAATCTCGATAGTGTACAACCCAGTACCACTTGTTCTTTGGGGCTTGTAAGTCGATCCTACGATATCCTCTACGCAATCCCATACTAACGCACCTCAGGGTCGAGCAAAACATTGTCATCATGGCTGCCTGTGTACCAACCTTACGCCCGCTTTTCCACCGGACCTGGGATCGAACTACAAGTGGACACGGATATTCAGGTTCTCGATCGGTTGATGTAGATGCGATAACATCCGGAGTACGGCAACGCGGGGTTCGCGAGAGCGTGCTGTCGCACACGGATGCAGGCGTTCACCTCGCTAACATCGGTCGAAAAGAATACGCAGAGTCTGCTGAGTCACAACAAGGTATCATGCGCACGATGGAGGTGTTAGTACAACGAGGGAGTGACGATGAGCGGCCTATAAGCCGTATCGATGAAATTGTGCCAAAGAATTTGAAGGACAATGAGCAATAAGCTTGACTTTATTCACAACACAAAGGTTGCAATTACCATTATGTCTTCAATCCTTTCCAATGTGAACATAGCCGTTACGGTCTTAACTACCATACTAGCCTCCACCTTCACTTTGAACAGCCTGCGGGATCTGAAGGCTTCCAGGGACCACGGAGAAAATTCTTACTTGCTCACGGCTTCGCTACCTCACTTAACTCTTGCCCTCGTCATACCAATCTTGTTCCTACCCGACAAGCAGCAATCATGGCCACAAGTGCTCGTGCAGCATTTGGTGCTGCAGATGGGAGGCGAGGCATCTGCCTACCCAGTCACATGTGTTCGCGCCTCTTCTGACATCGTTGCAGTCTGTACAGTTCCGGCAAGTACAGTGACCTTGTCATCACATACGACACAGACACGTAAAACGTGCACAAGGCCTTTGTATGCTCACGTTCCGACTCCTTCCGCAATGCTGGGCGATTCAACCTCGAGAACTTACGTTTGAGGCTACTCCTTGATACAGACAGCATCTGATATAACCAGAAGGTGGCTGAGGGATGCATTGATATTCCAGATGATGACACGGCGCTTATCAAGATCCTCATCAACTTCCTATAATAAGGAGAATACGACCCCAAAATTCCAAAAGGTCCAGCTAAAGAGAGGGTTCTATTGTGCGGAGGTCTTCAAGAACCCGACTGTCATCACCGGCTTCTGCACACCTACCCAGGTCTTCGAGGCTGTTCTACTCCGAAAGTCTGTCCGCACCACACATGCGGAGTGCAATGCAGCAAGATATGTCACAATCTCGATTGAAAGCTCTGCACCTTCAAGACAACGTTGCCGGATGTACCAGGGGATGTTTCCCAGCTAGTGTTGCATGCCAAGTTGTATGAGCTTGCCGACAAGTACGCCATGATTGGTCTCAAAGAGCTTTTTTGGCAAAAAATCGCCAGCGCCTGCATCCACCATTGGAACAGTGACCAGTTCGCTTAAGCTGCGCGACTTGCCTTCTCCACTACACCTGACAGCGACCTGAGTCTATGTAATGTCATCAGCAGAACGGTGACTGAACGGATCAGTTTGCTTGACAAAGCTAAGATCAAGTTAATCGTGCGTGAGTTCAATGGCCTTGCGGCTAGGGTCTTGGAGTTGCGGACGTGCGATCTTTTCTGAACGAAACAACGTAAGACCAAGTGAGAAGTCCTCGATAATGCCGAGCTCATAATGGCACCCTTGTTTAGCATTTAGCTGGCAGGTTTTGAGGCATTTTGGAAACAGTCATCCATAGATTTTCTCCACTTTCACTTCGCGTTTGTTTTGGCAATTGGTGCTTTCTTGGGTGCTCGCATGGAATGTTGAAGACTGCATTCATTTCTCCTCTTCTCTTACGCTAATGCCGCAAATACTGTCTCGAGCTTTATACAAGTCGATTTTGATGCCAAACACCGTCAACTCCAAATTCTCAATCTGCATCCACTGCATTAGTTGACAGCTGCGATCATGGCCGATGCGGCACGCGAAAAACTTGGGGGTCACGTCAAAACGTCAAGGCATCGGAACCTGTTGCGGTTTGCGGATAGTGTGCAGACAGGGAAAGTTAAAGGATTAAACTTGGGTTGTATTGTATGAAGCTACGAACAGTATGTACAGGTGGGCAACAGTAAACAACGCTAGTGCAATAAGGCAGTCACCCTCACGGCAGGTGAGGTATAACAGGTAAGGTATAACAGGTAAGGTACGACAGGCAGGAGTCACCCTAAACCGTGACATAACCACTAGAAGAAATATATACTAACGTTGTAAAGGTCTTCTCGTTTCTGGCGACTACAGCGATCCCACCGTTACCTGCAGCACGAACACTTAAATGTGCACAAGGCCAATGCATGCTCACGATCTGGATTCTTTAAGAGGGCAGAGAGATTTGCATTGACAAGTTCGCTTCCTACACCACATTCCCAACTTTGCTGACGTGATCCAGGAGGCGGTCAGTGGCGTGATAGACTTACCTAAAGACGAACCTGCGATCACCAAACCCCTCATCCAATACCTATACGAAGCTGAGTGCGACTCCAAGCTCACAAAGAGAGACGAGATCCCTCAACGTTATACATATTGAGGAGAGAGGAGACCGGGTTATTGCTACACGTTCACCCACACATATCTCATCGGCTGCCGGTCACCGGGGCATATGGTCTGTGACCACCATGTCTACCAACCGTAAATATGTGGTAATGCATGTGTCGACTTTGTCTGTGGAGAATGTAGCCTTGACTATAAGCCGCTGGACCAGCTCGAAGACTTCTTTTCCGGAGACCCTAGTCAATCCGTGCTCCACAGCAAGATGTATGAGATAGGCGACAAGTACGACGTGCTTGGATTGAAGTACCTAGCACAAAAGAAGTTCCAGTATCTGAGTGAGTTCTGCTGGAACACGAATCACTTCGCTCCAGCTGCCCAACACGCCTTTACATCAACTCCTGAAACGGACAAAGGACTCCGAGACATTGTACAACCTCTCGCCACATGTGCCTACTCCATAAGCCTGCCATGAAAGCCGTTCCAAACGAGTGCAGTGGCCTTGCTGTGGGTATCATGAAGCTGCGTGCCAAGGACTTGGGCTGGACGTAGCGAAGCAGACGTGAGCGAGGAGATATACAATGATTAGGGAAGAGCGCAAGACACTGGGTTCGCCTGCGCATTTGGGTGACTGTTATTGAATACTTTTCCATGAGCGAGGAGAGATTCAACAGTCAAATATGGAACGTGATGGCACAGACCGCTATGTACACCACAATTTGTGGGCCCCTTCACTTCGTCCTTACATGCGCGTTAACGGCACGTAGATCGGTGCAACCGCCCTAAAACTTTCACCTCAAACTTTCCCTAACTCTTCATCTCGCATCTTTCTCCGACTTCCCTTTTCTTACTCGCGTAAGCAGTCATGGCGAACAGCGTAGATGCAGAACATGCGGCGCGGACACATACCATCTGCACAAGACGATTGTGTGCACCAGATCTGAGTTCTTCAAGAGGTCTGAGCGTTTCACTGCTGGCAAAGTGAGTGGATTCTTGTTTGTAGCGGCGTGGGCCGCTGTAGAATACTGATAGGTACGGCAAATGACAACGTAGGACTATCGGGTCGATGGAATACTGCGCTGAGTTGCTATCTAGTGAGGAGAAGACGACTATATACCGACTCTGGAACGTGCTAATCCAGAATAGTCTAAGTAAGGGTAATAGGGTCTTGTATGGACCGACTAGTACCGCAACATTGTTTGACAAAGCTTCAGAGTGCAGTGGGTGGCTCCATAGTAGGAAGCCGCCGAGAATAAAGTCGACCTGCCCGAAGACGACCCTTCACCGATCAAAGTGCTTATCCAGTACCTGTACGAGAACGAACACGAACCGAAACTTCCAACTATCGACAAATCGAATGTTTATACGGAGATCAATATCCAGAGCTCCGGTACATGGACACCGTCACGGCTTCCCTCATACAGGCTGCCTACAATACTGTATGCGCCCTAGAGTTTGCCAACATCATTATTGCGACGAAAGAAACTTGTAGTCAAATGTGGTCTGGCTTCTGCGAAATCTGTTGCCCCAACTACGTCTCACCGTTCCAAGGGTTGAGGGAGGACTCCAGTCAGTTGCTCCTCCACGCCCGGATGTACAAACTCGGGGACAAATACACTGTCATAGACCTCAAGGAGCTGGCACGAGAGAAACTCTCGCGTGCTTGCGAGCACTTCGCACCCGCCGTCCGTTGCGCCTTCTCAACTACACCTGACACCAACGTTGTGCTTCGATCCATCATCATTAATGTGCCGAGCAAGCATGTTGAGATTTCAGGCAAGCCAGACATTGAGATCCTACTGCACGAGTTCAATGATCCTGCAGTTGGGCTGCCGAAGCGAAGAACCAAGCAACAGATCTGATGGAGGCGGAAATTGAACTCGGAGGCACACACACACACAGTGCCTTTGAACGACAACAGCTTCTCTGGGCTGGACTATGACGGGAAGAGCGATGGGAGGGAAGACAGCATCACTCCAGAGGCCTCCGAGTGTTGGTCGTCACGGAAGTAGCCAACGAACAAACCACTTGCTATCAAATTCAGGCATCGCTGCCATCGCTTTGATCGTGATGGTCATGTGAGCTTGTACTGGTCTTGATCAATACCATTGATGTGTCCTTCAAGGCCACCTACTTCAAACCTGGAGCTGGACAGTGACGTCTACACGGGGCGAAGATCTCCGCCTCCAACTTGCCACGTTACTTCCTTCTCCACCCGCCTCTCAACTTCTTTCCTCCTCCTTCCACCCTCCACCTTACACCGCCACCATGGCAGAGCACACTCGCGCAGTCTTCGACACAACGGACAAGAGGTGAAGCGAGGTTTGATATTGCGAACATCCAAAACATGAGCTGACAGTATGTGCCAGCCTGTACATCCCAGGTGATAACAGCGATGTCACAATTACCTGCGGCAGCGAGACGTTCAGCGTTCATAAAAGGTTCGTATGTGATGGAGGAAAAAGCGTGGTGAGGTGCTGCCACAACACGAGGCTAGGATGCATCGAATACTGCCAACCTCGGGGAGGTCAAGATGCGATGATGAGAAACAGGGGACGTCACAATGGATATATCACTTGTGGATACGGGGAATTTGGGTGAAGACATGGATGCATTCAGCTATCCAATATTCTCCTTTGGTCCTTTATCAAAAACAAAACAGGTACACGCACGCAATCAAACTAGCCCAATGAGATGTGCACCTTGCTGAGAACCCAATGCCAGATCGATCATGTATCATACTATTACGGAGCGGAAGCAAAGTCTGTATCCGCTCACTATGCAACGACGCAATGAAGTCAAGTAGAGTCGAGTATCTTACTCGCGAGCAACGCGCTCCTTGAACTCCTGGAACATGTGCTCCATCTCCTCGGCAACGAAGTCCTCAATCTTGGACTCGAGCTCGGAGAGCTTGCCACCGACCTGGTGGGCGGTGCGGCCAGCAGCGCCCTTGGCCTTTTCGAACTCATCAGCGACCTCCTTCTCCATCTCAGAGACGGAGGGGATGGTGATGGTGTACTCGGAGGGCTCCTTGGAGGCACCCTTGGTGGACTTGTAGGCACCCTTCTCCACGATCGCGGTGTAGTTGGAAGAGCCACCGCCGTTCCAGGCGAGGATGTTGGCGGTGTTGGAGGGAACGTCAGAAAGAGCATCGACGGTACCGACGGCGATGAGGTTAGCCTTGAGCTTCTTGGGGGTGATGTCAGCCACAGCGTAGGACGAGTCCTTGGCGGGCTGGAGAGAGAGGTAGTAGGCCAGGAGACCAGCAATGTGGGGCGAGGCCATCGAGGTGCCAGAGATGGTGTTGGTGGCGTGCTCAGAGCCGATCCAGGTGGAAAGGATGTTGAGACCGGGGGCGAAGAGGTCGTTGCACTTTCCGTAGTTGGAGAAGTACGCACGCTCGTCGAGGAGGGTGGAGGCGCCGACGGTGACAGCGTTCTGGGCAGCCGCAGGCGAGTAGTTGCAGGAGTCTGCGTTGTCGTTACCAGCGGCAACGGCGAAGTGGATGCCGGCGTCGACGGCAGCGTTGACAGCAAGGTCAAGAGTGTTGGACTTGCCACCACCGAGAGACATGTTGGCAGCAGAGCCCTTGAAGCCCTTCTTCTTGCCCTTCTTCGCGGCGCTGACGGCGTCGCTGTGAGCCTGAGCGGCCCACTCAACACCCTTCACGACGTCGGACATGGTGCCAGAGCCGTTGGAGCGGAGCACCTTGACGGCGTAGACGTTGGCCTTCTTGGCGACACCGTACTTCTTGCCAGCAACAGTGCCGGAGCAGTGGGTGCCGTGGCCATTGCCATCCTCATCAGCATCGCCGTTGGGGATGGTCTTGCCCCAGTGGGCGCGGCCGTCGAAGTCGACGTGCTTGACGTTGGTGCCGGTGTCGATGACGTAGACGTCAACGCCCTCGCCACCCTCGGCGGAGTAGAGGTACTTGTTCCAGGTACCGAAGCTCAGCGAGTCACGGTGCGAGATGCGGGCAAGACCCCAGGGGGCGTTCTTCTCGGTCTCGTAGTCGTCACCACCAAGCGTGTGGACCTCGGAGTCACGCTCGATGTAGTCGACCTATCAGATGGGGTTAGCGGGAGTACTAAGGCAGGTACCAAGTACCTGAATGGCGCCATCACGTGCTGATAGTGCACGATTGCGTGTTTCGGCTGAGCTGCCTTGACTCTAGGCGGCAGCCATCGCCACACCAACGCGCAGCTGGCCTGGGGATTGCACGTCTTGAGTCGCGCGCTCAGCGCTGAGCCAGATGTGCGGTTGCACTCGCAGACAGCCTACGGAGAAGCTGGGAGCTCAAGCGACTTGCTGTCCGCTTTCGGCGCAGGCGGCCCAGAGGACGCGCCCTTGCTGCGGAGCTGGCGGGAGCTGGCGGGAGCTGGCTGGCGCTCGGCTGAAACTCCACGTGCAACAGACATGCTCACGATGGCCAAGAGGGGAGCTGGCTACTTACGTCAGGATGCCTGCGAATGGCCTCGATGGTCTCCTCGTCGAAGTGACCCGAGTAGCCGAGGATGCCGCCGGCGATGTTGTATGTGTGCTTGAGACCCTCGAAGACGTCGGTAGTGACAGGGAACTGGGAGCGCTTTCGCAGCTCCATGCGGTCGTTCTGCGACTTTGTGTGGATGCTCTGGACCCAGTCGTGGTGGTCCTTTGTGTGCTCATGCTTGACGTGCTTCTTGAAGACGATCATGTAGTTGTCGGCAATCTCCTTGGACTGTGCCGACGACAGGATGGGGGCAGCATCGTTGTGGATGGTGCCAACCTGGAGCATGGGCGAGGCTGCTGCCAGCGCGGCCAGCGCCGGGAGAGTGTATGCGTACTTCATGTTGGTGGTGGTCTCGCGCTGCGAGTGTGCGTGAACAGAAGGAAGAGAAAGACGGACTGGGAGTTATGAGAGAAGGCGGAGAGAAGTATGGAGCGTATGGAGCGTATGGAGCGTATGGGAGGAGAGAGTGAGGGGGAGGAGGCAGATGACTGGAGACGGAGCCCGGGGAGCAGATGGATCTCTTATCAAGGCCGAAGGCGCAGGGACCGAGCACATGACGTGAATCGCTTCCAAGCTTGGGAGCTACCCCAGCCTCACTGCGCGCTTAGCCTATCGCGGGCGATGCAGCACGCGCTCGCCATGGGAGGCGGTTGTTGCGACGGCCAGGCAGACGGCCAGGCAGACGGTCAGAGCACACGCGATATCCATCCAGCGTCAAGACGGCAGCCAGCGATTCTGTGAAGCTGCGAATCTACTAGGGCAGCGAATCTACTAGGACTGTTGTCGTGTACGGTCGACCTCGAGGCTGCGAGCATCTTGTTGCGGCGAGCTGGCCCGGCCGCTTCCTTATCCGGTGCCAGTGGCGCCAACACCTCGTGAACGCCAGCTCGACAGTCAGCAGCCCAGCAGCCCAGCAGCCCAGCAGCCACCGCGTGAGACATGTTGAGCAGGAGACGGACGCTGCGCTGGGGAGCCTGCTCACGACCAGCGTGCACCCTCACTCGGTAGTGCATTGTTCGATCCGACGTCTCTGCGGCACCATCCTCGCAAGAAGTGGATGCTGGAGCTGGTGGTTGTTTGAGGACGCGGCCCGAGCTCCAGGCAAGGCCGGCCGCCGTTTAGCCTCACCCTTCGATACGCGGCGTGCACGACGTAGGCGACAGTGACAGTCGTGACAGTCGTGACAGCAGCCCTGGAGCCCTGGAGCCCTGGAGCCCTGGAGCCCTTCACCCACTCTGCACGCCCGCACGCCCGCACTCTCCGCTGCAGCACTGCACCGCTCCACACCCCCCCCCCTCCCCCCCCTTCCCACCTCCATGCACTGCACTCCCCCCGCAGAGACATGACTGAGTTCTCCTCGCCGCGCCATTCGTCTCCCACAAATTCCCGCAGCGGCGGCCGCGACTGAATATGGCGACCACACGCCCGCACCGGTCCTCGACGGCCGCCTCGAGGGTCCCGCCGATGAACGAGCAGATTGCAGAGCTGCGAGCGCTGGCCGACGACCTCCTCGGCGCCGCCAAGACCTCCCCGCCGACTGCAGGCACGCTGCAGAGCCAGAGCTATGTCCTCCGCCGCATGCGCCAGCTGCTGATAGACTCGAGCGACCAGACGCACACCAAAGACGCCTTCCGCCACGTGCGGGGCTTCGAGGTGCTGCTCACCACATTACGCTCGCTCTCTGGCTTCTACAGGCCCGCCGCGCTCTCGCCGCCCGACCGCATCGACTTCTTCGAGGTGATCAAGGCGGCGCTGGACGTGCTGTCAGACGCTCTGAACGAGCATGCGGGCAACAGGCGCTTCTTCGCTAAGCGCGTGGAAGACGACGGCTGGAGCGCACTGGAGCAGGCACTGGGCAGCACAGGCATACTGGGCGGACTGTCTGACAGCAAGCGGGACGATGCAGGCCAGGAGCAGCTGCTCGGCAACCTCTTCGCCTTTGCGCTGGGCGAGGAGGCCATGACACGCCTGTTCAGAGACGTCGACAAGAACGCGGACGAGGGTCCAGCTCCGCAGCAGGAGGAAGCTCCAGCCGAGAGGGGCGAGCCACCACCCACGGACAACATTGTTGTCTCGAGTCCGCGCGCAGGGTACGGCGAGTCCAGCATCAAGCTCGGCCCACTGCGCAGCCACTTGCGGAAGCTCTTCAGCGGCAACGAGGTGCTGCAGAACCCAGACGTCATGCCCACCATCCTCCACTTCTGGCGCGGCCTGTCTGGCGAGGACGCACCGGGCGCAAAGTCGAAGCCACTCTCAGTCGCTGTCCTGCTCGCTATCCTCGAGATTACCAAATTGTCGTCGTACAACAAAGCCGCACTGCACACCACCGGAGTGCTCAGCTTTGTTCTACCTCTGCTCTTCGAAAACAAGTGCGCCCCGGCTGAGGCCAGCCTGCTGCTGGAGCTTGCAGACAGCCTGATTGAGTACGGCATCAACAAGCTCGACGATGCGTACTACCTCTTCCGCAAAGCGGCATCGTCAGAACAGGCTGCCGTGTTCCTCCACCGAGGTATGCAGACCTCGCGAGCTCCTCACTTCATACAGTTCGATCTCTCCCTGCACGGCTTCAGCGCTATCGAGCTCCCAGACATCGGCCGTCCTTTCCCACCCGTCTCCCAGGGCGGCGGCTACACATTTGCGACGTGGATACGAGTGGACAGGTACGACCCCAACTGCCACACTACGCTCTTCGGCGCATACGATGATACCCAGACCTGCTTTCTGATGGCATACCTGGAGAAAGACACTCGCTGCTTCATACTACAGACATACATGGGTCACGCCTCTGGCGTCGTTCCTAGCGTACGCTTCAAGAAGGCCCCGCGCTTTGAAGAGGGCAGATGGTACCATATCGCCGTCGTGCATCGACGAGCAAAGGGCATAGGCATGGGCAGCCACAAAGCTTCCATCTTCGTCGATGGCGAGTTCACAGAGACGATAAAGGCGCACTATCCTTCGCATCCACCAGTGCTGGACAGCAGCCAGGAGAGCTTCGCTTCCATGTCTTCGAGCAGCTCGAAGCACCACATCTTGGCTTTCTTGGGTACTCCACGAAACCTCGCCCCTCGCTTAGGGAGGAACGTCCTGACCTCCAAGCTCTCTGTAGCATCTTTCCACCTCTTCTCAGAACCCTTGTCAGACGAACTAATCGCCGTGTATCACAAGCTAGGTCCCAGGTACAGCGGTAACTTTCAGGACAGGCTCGGTTCCTTCCAGACGTATCGCACTTCGGCAGAGCTGCACGTGCACAACGAGATCCTGCACCCTGGGCGAGAGGAGCGCTCAGACATTGTGACAGCAATACGCTCGAGCGCAGGCTACCTCATGCCCGAGTCGAAGATCCTGCTCAGCTTCTCGCCCAGTTCGGTAATGGACGATGACGATAGAAACGCCATTGACGAATCCCAGCTGATCAGGTCGCTATCAAGAGACTCGGCTAGGTCCCTTCATAGATACACAAGGGCACACAGCACGCCGATCATCATCAACGCCGCCGTTCCCTCAGTCAACGATGCTTTGTCGCAAGCACGTGGCTTTGGTAGGCTATCAGGTAATCCGGTTGTAGTAGTTCCCCAGTCACTCGATGACGCCATCTGGCGCATTGGCGGATGCGCAGCTGTTGGATTGAAGCTTGTGCAGGCTGCCCAGTCGCTGAAGAGCGTACTGCGTGCAGTAGAGATTCTTCTGGCGGCCGTTGAAGGCAACTGGAGAAATTGCGAAGCCATGGAGCAGAGCAATGGGTTTGCGATTCTTGCCGAAGTGTTGCGTCAGAAGATTGGATTCGCAATGGGCGGTTTGGTCATTCGAAATTCTTCGTCACTTGATGTGACCCCGGAGCAGTGCGAGGAGTTTGTCGCTCAACTGCTCTCGGTCATACTTCGTTTCGTTGGATATGACGAGCAACACCCGGAAGAATCACTCATCATCAACCCGCTTGCTTACCGGGTGCTTCTTGTGGATCTCGAGCTCTGGCGTAGAGCGACGTCGTTGGATACACAAAAGAAGTACTACACGCAGTTCATACATTTTGCGAAGGGCAGCAAGCATCATCATTACAATGCCAAACGTTTCCACCGAATCAGTATGTGTGCCTCGTTGCCTTCTGGGCTTGACTGACAGAGCCTGCAGGAGTTGTAAAGCGCTTGACAGATGCTTTGAAGGGCGAAGCCTTCACCCCACAGACCTTTCCACTATTCCTTGACGCCTTCAAAGCCCTCTTGCACATCAACTTCAATGGGGAGAACGCTCGATCACTGTCTCTGTTCGTCACGTATGCCCTGCATGACACGCGCGCCTCGTACGCGAAACGGACTCTTCGACCCAAAGCGAGCACTTTGCGCCTTCGCAGAGGTACACCCCCCAACCTGACACCCTCACTCACACCCAGATCGTCCAGTCCGTCATCCATCACGCCAGAGTCTCCACCGATCTCCCTGCCAGACCTAGGCTTAGCCATATTGAACCTCCTTTCCGAGTTCTTGTGCGACCCTCACAACCCTCACGAGATCGTTCGCTTTGCCAAAAATGTCACCAGCAAGTGGCTTCTGTACCTGCTTGTAGAGAACGACCAACGTGTCGTTGTACTTGGTGCGAAGATACTGGCTCGCTTGCTTGTCACCAATAGGCCACCCTATGTCAAGAAGTTCGGTGAGAAGACAGGCGGCTTCACCGTCATGAAGAATAGGCTCCGGCATTGGTGGAACACGCCTGGGATCTGGACGATTTGCTTCGCCATCCTCTTCGACCGCGACGTGGCTACCATAGACTTCGAGCGAGACTTTGACGTCTTCAACCTAGTCGACATCTTCATGACGCACCCACCGCAGTCGAAGTTGAGGATAGCATATCCCGAGATCTTCCCAGTCATCACAGCCATGCTGGACACTGGACTGCGAACTATCGTACGGGATCGTGAGACGGCCAACGCAGATCGACCAAAGGACGAGAATGCTGACAGCACTCCGACAAGGGGACGTCGTAGAACAATGTCCCTCAATGCCAAGCAGCCCACCGTCGGTGAGTAGACTTCGCCATGCCTTCAGTACTAAGCTAATAGAAACAGACACGAAAGCACCGCAATCAGAGCGCCTCAACAACTACGCCGTTGTGCTCAACTCCGCCATTCAGTTCTTGTCAGAGCTACACGCACGATCTGAGGTCTTCCGTGACTACGCGAACACGTCGAACTATGTCCAAGAACTGCTGTTTGTTTTGTACCCGGTCATTGTTACTTCGGACAGCGTTAGCGCGGAGACCGAATTGCTGTCAAGAGGTTCAGCCCTCACATTCGAAGGTCAGGATGTGGTTATCCAGCCGGTATCCGGTGCCAGCAGCCAGCAAACACCCATCATACGCACAAGTAATGTTCCCGCCGCACCATCGCCTGGTGCCCAAAGGGTCATCCCGTTCCGAAGAGCGTCCTCCTTCGTCCTGGTTTCAGCAGACAAGGCAAAAAAGACTGCGAAGCAGCCGCCACTCAACCCTATAACATCACCGCGAAGCACCGCACCTGTGGCAATGAAAGTGGGCAGCTCGGTGGTGGAAGCTATGCTCGAGGTTGTCTTGGACATTTTCAAGGAGCAGCTGTTCACTCGAAAAGACTTCCCCGGGCTTGGCTTATTCATGAAGACGCCGCCGGGTTTCCAGGAGCACCAAGCTTACTTCGAATCATATATACTTCGTCAGATCCTGTTATCTGTCAAGAACTCTCTACAGCTGGACCAGAACCTGCTCCACGAGCCCCGTGTTCTCATCAACCTATCACGCTTCGTCAGCCACATCTCAGAAGCAGTCTTTGAAGGGTGGTTTCTTCAGGGTGCAGAGCCGCTGCTGGACTTCACAGGCTTCCTGCTGGAGTACCTCGAGCGACCAGATATCGCGGCGATCAAATCGGTCAGATTGTGCACACAAGCGATTCAGACGATGAGAGCGACATTCCTCAAGGTTGCATTGCTCCAACTCGCCGAACCGGACGATTCCGAAGATGGGTCCAATACCACATCGATCATCGAGAAGATGGTATACTGGCAGCCCATCATCCTCTCATCGGCAAACACCGATACGTTCTCACTAAAGATGATCTGCTACCTCTTCTATACCAAGCTATCATCGGAGTACGAACAAGTCCGCCTGGCTGCAGCCAACTTCTGGCGTCTGCTGCTGGTCCAAAAACCCCATGAGACTTCGAGCATCCTCGGCAACGCTATCCAGACAGAAAACAAGAATCTGTATGAAGGCTTTCAGAAGCTCGTAGAGCTAGACAACGAAACGTTTCTGCAATGGTTCGACACGCACCGAGCGGATCTTGATAAATTCTTCTACGGGTCCATGACTAGGACATGGGAAGAGTTCGCGCACGAACAGAACAAACGTACCGAAGAGACATCAACAAGACGCATCGGCAAGCGAAAGGAGAAACTAAAGCAATGGCAAGCAGAGGAGCTCACGTCTGAGAATATCTGGAATCACCACGAGAACTCGACAGGCCATTGGAGGTCAAACATCCATGCTTCCGAGCGCATCAAGCACCAGCGAGTGCTGCAGGACCAACAAGACAACGCGACCTACCTACAAACAGTCCTCGTGAAGCTCGACCACCAGCTCAAGGGTCCTTGCGCGTTGTTCGACAACAGTCCACCCGCCAAGTGGCGCCTCGATGAGACGGAAGGCCGCGACCGCAGACGTATGCGAATAATTCTCGACAACACAAATCGCGATCAGCAGTATCAGCCCAAGCGCAAAGATACAGACCCAGTGGGACGACTAAAACTAGACACTAACGTTTACCCGATTACTGCCAAAGACGCCTTGGGTGTGACACCAATCGGCCGTCGATCGGGCACACCATCGACAATGACCAAGGAAGAGTCGCAACAGGAAGATGGATCAGGCAGCGATGAGGATTTCGAGATGGTGGACGCTCTATACGAAGACGATGATGGCTTCGAGGACAAAAATCGCAAGGTCATGCGCAGTCTCAATCGCGGCGATCAAGTGCAGTACGTCTGCAACATTTCTCGGGTCGTGGGTCTGGAAGCTATCGAGGGCCTGCTCATCGTGGGCAAGGACTGCCTGTACTTGCTCGATGACTTCTTCCAGAGGTCAGACGGTGAGATTGTGCGAGTATGGCAGGCGCCTCCGGACGAGCGTGACCCTTACGTGCAGGTCATTGCTGGCAAAGAGGCAGTCACGAACCGCCGACCTCCAACAAGAACACAAGAAGAGTCAGCACGACACTGGAAGTGGAGCGAGGTCATCAGCATATCCAAACGCCGCTTCTTGCACCGCGATGTCGCTATCGAGGTTTTCTTCGATGATGGGCGCAGCTATCTGCTCACTGCGATCTCTGCGCAGGCACGAAACGACATCCATGGTCGAGTTCTGCAACGCGCATCGCACGTCGTCAATCCGGAGAAGCTGGTCAACTCCGAGATCGCATGGCGACTTGACTCGCTGCGCAATGTCGAGGAAGCACCACAAACTTTCGGATCACGGTTCGCCTCCGCTTTCAGCTCCGTGTCATCGCATCCAGCGACCAAGAAATGGTTGAAGGGCGAGGTGTCGAATTTTCACTACTTGATGTTCGTCAACACCTTGGCTGGACGGACCTTCAACGACCTCACGCAGTATCCTGTGTTTCCTTGGGTAATCTCCAACTACGAAAGTGAAGAGCTGGACCTGGCCGATCCTCGCAACTTCCGAGATCTCAGTAAGCCAATCGGTATTCAGCACCCCAGGCAGGAGCAGTCGATACGCGAGCGTTTCAGCTCCTTTGCTGAGATGGGTGACCCGGATCATGCTTTCCACTTCGGTACCCACTACTCGTCTGCTATGACCGTTGCATCCTATCTCATGCGCCTACAGCCATACAGTGCAGCCTTTTTCCTCATCCAAGGCGGTACATGGGATCATGCTGATCGCATGTTCTACTCAATCCAAAATGCATGGGAGTCGGCGTCGAACAAGAACATGGCCGATGTTCGTGAGCTCACACCGGAGTTTTTCTTCCTTCCTGACTTTCTCACCAACGTTAACGGCTACAACTTTGGTTTGCGCTCGGACGAGTCGAGCATCGACAATGTACAGCTACCTCCATGGGCAAAGGGTGACCCAGCAATCTTCATTGCCAAGCAGCGCGAAGCTCTCGAAAGCCCACACGTCAGCGCAAATTTGCATCACTGGGTCGACCTGATCTTCGGTCATAAGCAGCGCGGTGAAGCTGCTGTCGAAGCAGCCAATGTCTTCCACTGGATGACCTACCAGGGTGCCATTGACCTGGACAGCATCACCGATGAGAAGGAGCGCGCTCAGAAGATCAGCGTGATCAACAATTTCGGTCAGACACCGACACAAGTCTTCCAACGTCCGCACCCATCGAAAGAAAACGTTGCAAAAGCAACGAAACTCGACACTGCCGCTGAGAGCTTACATCGCGTACCTGGCACACTCCTTGACGCTCATGACCGTATCTCCTCTCTCAACTACATCGCTAAAAGTGACAAGCTCCTCTGCTCCGCGCCCTTCAGGCACAATCTCCCACCCCACTACAACGTGTACATGGAGTGGGGCTTCACCGATGGCTCCGTTCGATTTTATGATTCACACTCGAAGCGCCTCCTTGGATTGTTCGAACACCTGCATTCTGGGCAACTCACCACCAGTTTCTTTGTCGACGGCCGTACTCTGATTACAGCAGGCACAGATTGCACGTTAGCAGTCTGGAACGTTATCCGCGCAGAGAAGGGCCACATTGAGCTTCAACACGTGACAAGTCTCTTCGGACATAAGTCGCCTGTGATCAGCCTTGCAGCGAGTCGCGCGTTCTCTGCATTCTTGAGCGCGGATCAGGGCGGTAAAGTGTTCCTTTGGGATTTGAATCGCAATGAGTTTGTACGCGAGCTTGATCTCGGACCAAGACAAAAAAGGGTGCAAACGCCAGTGCAAGCTGCTCGCATCAACAGCGCTACCGGACACATCGTGCTTGCTGTCGAGTCGAGACTTATTGTTACCACGCTGAACGGCACGGTCTTGCTCGACGAGGACGTATGCGACGGCGACGACGATACGGAAGGGATCACCGCCGTCGCAGTATATGAGGGTGTAGGCAATGAGTGGTGTGAGCGTGAACTCATCTTCACCGGCCACCGTCGCGGCATCGTCAAGGTACGTACACTCTTTTTTCCACTCTCTTCCTGTCCCTCCATCGCGTTCCTCACAGACCGTCTGCTGACGCTAAGCAGATCTTCCACCTCACCCCCACGCCAAGCACACCTTTCACTGCCACCAAACCCTCCTCCGCTGCGCATACAACACCGAGTCGACCGGCCTCAACATGGTCCATCGATCTTGTCAACGTACTCGCTCACGGAGACCCGATGATTGAGCGCACCGCTGCGCCGATAACCTGTATACTACCGCTGGAAAGGAGTGTGTATACCGGGGATGAAGATGGCAGAGTTGTAAGTTCCATGATGGCAAGCCTAATGAGACAAGGCTAATATAAGGCAGTACGAGTGGGATTGCGTGCAGCGACATCATTGATTATCAACACATCAACACACGACGATTGGATAGAAGGGTGCATAGTCTGGAGTTTTGGCGAAGTACTGGGGTCTTAGCTCATGCGTTCTGGCTACTTTGGTGGGCTGGAAAGGGGTGTACATACGGAACAAAGCAATCATTTATTCCGCATAGATAACGGTCCTTGCCCCAACTAAGAGTCGCGCCTCACTAACGCTGCGTCTATGAGCAAGGGTAAGATTTTGGATATTGCTGATGCCATTTGCAATCAAGGCCGTTGACAGTTCTCAGCAGGAGTAATGTTAGAAGGAGACACAGACCAAGACGAAGAACGAGAAGGCTCACGTCCCAAGATGTTGAGGCAGAAGAAGCCGCAGTTGAAGAGTGTATGGTCAAAGCACAAACACCGTGCGACTTACATCATTAACTTGATCAAGTCTTGTACGGGTTGATGGACGTGACAGGGCTTGGGGTTGGCGATGGATGGTACAATGTTCGCTCGAATAGACTTTTGACGGCAATCAGACGGTGGGATCCATACAGGGCAGAATCATGGCAAAGAGTGGTATCGCAAACAATCAAACACAAATTGTCGTCGGCAGGTGTATGCGCAATCACAAGTTGACGCAGTTTCTAGTTGTGATGCAAAGCAGCGACGCGAGTATGACGTGACGCGTAAGGGTCGCCAGTATGTGGACATTCGCACCTCCATCCCAGGCTCAGAACTTCTGGAAAAACTCAAGAATCCCAAGATTAACGGCTGCTTCATGAGTGATGTGCGTATATCCTTGAGAGTTGGTGAAAAGAGCGGGCGATGTGCGGAGCTTTCGCTTGATTGCGCACAATGCAAACGCTGCTGTAGACGAAGCCGCTCGAGGCTGAGTTCTCGAACGTAGCGAATATTTGGAGCGTGATCTTTTGAACCACACCTTGTTCAACCCATGAGAGTAGCCTTCTTACACACACAATGATATTCGAGCCTGTTGAGCGATCAAATCAAGCACTAAGACTGGGAGCCTGGCATGCGCTTAGAACAGACCAGCACCCCCATCTCTGGGGAGCGAAAGGAACGCTCTGAGTGTAGGTGAACTTCTAACTTGGTACGTAGGCTTGACTAATTGCGACGATATTGAACTTCGGCGACGCGTACCTCAATATCTCTTTCGAGCCTGGTTGGATGAAAGTAGCGCTGGCCTCGAACACGCCATCAGTAGCACACCTGAGGTCGTGCCTCACCGACCCATGCCGGACTTCGAAGGCGAGAAGCGCTTCTATGAACTGCCGGAGTGTGAGCTGGCACACGTGGATAATGCCCATTACAAAAGCCAGAATGATGCACAGTCCGGTTTCAGCTCTTGGTCGGCCTCACTCCATCTCGTCCTGTGTTACGACAGTTCGATGCCCGCACATCAACACCCCCATTTAGTTTTAATTGATACTCAAGATATTAGGGAGGTACCAGTGTGGCATTGTTTGATGTTGTGGTATCGGTTGGTCCGTAAAGCGTCTGACTATACCCCTGATCGACCACCCTGGACTAGTGTGTTACAGGTCAGGTATATAGTCGTCTCCTCCTAGCTATATAGCAATATAGCGCAGTATTCCATTGACCCGATAGTCCTACGTTATCATTTACCGTAGCTATCAGTATTCTACAGCGGTCCACACCGCTACATTTGAACTTGCTGGGGGCCGGTGAAGGTGACCACGAGTATCTCGCATATGGCTCCATGTGTGGGCGCGGCTATCGAGCCGCGCCACTCGAGGATCTCAAAGTGCGAAGGCTGCACATCCTATGCCCAGAACTGAAGCACGCGCATCGACCGAACGAGGGGGAATCTCAAATTCGGCTACCAGTACTGGCGGCAAAGGTTTAGACAAACGCCGACACCCATCACGAATGACCAACTGAACATCGCTGAGCAAATGGCACTTCGCTTTGGAGACCTTTCCCCCCCAGTACTCATAGCACTGCGCTGCACCGTGCCCCGAACTCAGTTCAACACGCAATCTGATATCTGTTTCCACAAGACCCTGGCCAAGCGGGTTTATCGGACCATCGAAAAAGCGGCTGCATCGGGTTATTTGATAACAATGTACAAGGCTCAGCCTCTGTGGTGTCTAGAAGTGGTCTATTCAACGGGCTTCCCAGACTTCAGGCAAAGCATTGCTTTGTTTGCTGCTCCCTTACAGCATACTGGCAAAAAGCTTGAGCCATGGAAGTACATAGCATACAAGGTAAGCTCTGGGCAACGATAGACCCTCGGTGTGACTAGCTGACAAAGTTAGCAGGTTGCACAGGCGGAAGAGCCGCTAGTCACGAAGCAAGATGAAGAACAGATATATGTTCTCCGCTGGCAGACAGCCTGGAAGACAGTGCTTGAACAGACGGATTACGCCTCAGTGGACGACGGCTGAATGATGGTGCAACGAAAGGTATAGGTTAAGGAATATTGACGATGAGATTTGCTGACCAATTTCGAACAGAATAGACCATTGCGAATGAAGTGTATCGATGGTGAAGTCTAAGAATGCGGGAAATCTCAAATTAGGGAATTGGTGATGCCTGCAAGGTCTGTAGGATGAACATGATTGTGTACGAGATGACGATAGACAAGGTGAAGAAGGGACGCGTGACTCGACCTGATGAGGTAAGCCGCTAGCCTCTTTAGTCAGACCAGACTATTTGTGCAGGGTTTCCTTATTTTCCATCGTCAATCACCACCATACCCGTAGAGACACATAGGGATGGTCATAGGAATGAAGTTCCCTTCTCGAATATGCACTTCGCGCCCAACCTGACGCACAGCCCCCAAGCTGCAGCGGTAACCCTCATATCACAAGGAACGTCCACGTCACGCGTCGTCAGGAACAGCACCTTGGCCCCATCTACCCGGCTCATGGACGACAAAGCACATCGAGAACCTACCCCGGACTAACGAAATACTGTTCGACTCGGGCCTTTCTACCCCAGATTATCTCCGCTATTTAGCAGGTGACCCCCGTCAGCGTGTCGCAATCAAACTTACCGACCTCCATCAGCAACCAAGCGTTACCACATTCATCTGAGCACCTTCCCGTTCCTGAAAGATAACTGTCGCCTCAATTATACGCCACCGAGTGCCAATGTTCCGATTGCAGGAACAATGTGCGCCTGGGTAAATGTTTCCGGCACCAGCGGGGCCCCGCATTAGCCATGAATCAGTTCGGAGTATCCATGACCGAACCCCTGCACGCACAACCCATGGATGGGTCACATGTCTTCGCGTCAATGACAGGATAAATATCTCGTTGCTCGCCATTGAACGCCAAGCACAAGTCAACCTCGTCCTTCAGTTACAATGGGTGGATTCAAGCTCCTCAGCCTTGCTGCTCTTGCCAGCTCAACTCTTGCCGCACCGCTCGAGGAGCGCGCAAAGCAGCCCAAGAGCTTCTTCAAGGGCATCGGCAACTCGACTTGGGTGATTGGTAACGATGTGTGGAACGTCACACAGAACCTCCAGTACGCCAACAAGCTCTGGTACAGGGGCAAGGACAGAGTTGGGCAAGCCGTAGGCCACTATGTGAGCTACAGTAAGTCAAGCCCTGCAAAGTGATTTAGGAAGTGTGATGCTGATAAGCGATCCAGATGGCGCTGCCTCGGACCTCAAGTGGCTATCTGCATCGGTCGTGGACGAAGGTACCGACTGGATCAACATCAAGTTTAGCGCTGCCGAGGGTGACATGCACTGGGTTATCTACGACGGTCTCCACGGATCATACCAGTACTTCGTCAACCACGCGCTCCCTACTCTTGGCGAGTTCAGAACGCTTTGGCGCCTCGATAATGTGTCATTCCCGAACGCGCGAACTAATGTCAAGGATGGACCTCTACCAGCACTTGCTGAGTACGCCATCTCTACAAACGTTCAGGACGAGACATGGCAGAAGCCTGACGGCACCTTCTTGACAAAGTACGACTGGAGCAGCAATGTTCGCGACAACGACTTCCACGGTGTCTATGGCGAGGAGGTGGGAAGCTGGTATCTGAACCCTGGAAAGGACTATTTCAACGGTGACCACCTGAAGCAGGAGCTCTTCGTATGTTGCTCTATCTCGTCCTATCGTCTCCAACTAACATGTTCAGGTCCATCGTGAATCAAAGACCGGCGACGCCGTCCAGCTCAACATGATCCACGGCACGCACTACCAAGCCGTCTCGCGCGACGTGTTCGCCGACGGCAAAGTCTGGGGCCCCTGGCTCTGGTACCTGAACGACGGCTCAAAAGAGGATGCCGCATCCCGTGCCGCACAGGAGGAGTCCGCATGGCCCTACAAATGGTATAACGACAAAGCCTACCAATCGCGCGGCAAAGTCCAAGGCCGCCTGCTCCTCTCCGACGGCCGCCCAGCAGCCGGCGCAGCCGTCTTTCTAAGTGACAACAACAACTCGACCATCTCGACGCTCGACCAGGGTAAGGACTTCTACTACACCGCCTACGCCGACGCAAACGGCAAGTTCTCCTTCAAGGACGTCCGCACCGGCTCCTACGCACTGCAAGCCTGGGGCAACGGCGGCGCAATCAGCGACGTCATCACCAACTTCACACAGAACAACGTCGAGATCCGCAAAGGCGATACTACGAACTTGAAGGACTTGACATGGAAAGTTACAGACAAAAGCAAGCGGATCTTCCAAATCGGCGCCTTCGACCGTAAGACAGATGGCTTTGCGCTAGCAGACCCGGGCAAGCCATTCGAACACGGTCGCATCTCCAAGGCGCCTGGAAACTTGACGTACACGGTTGGCAGCAGCACGGATAAGGACTGGTATTTTGGGCAGTCCGCGCTGGGAACGTGGAGTGTGAACTTCCCCGCCCCGAAAACTACGGCTGCGTCCAAACTCACGGTCTCGCTTGCTGGGTTCTCTCAGGGATCGAGTTGCGATATCCTCCTCAACGATGTGAAGATCGGCAACATCACCAGCGCGAGTTTGCTGAACAGTCAGGACACGTACCGTGGCGCTACGCGCAATGGAGAGTGGAGACTGCTGGAGTTCCCTGTTGGCGCCGAGACGTTCAAGAACGCGACGAACAAGCTGGATATCAAGGTGACCAGGACTACACAATGGAGGGGCTGGCTGTGGGATAGTCTTGTGCTTGACCAGATTTGAAACCGCCTCTGGAGTTGTCAGTATATTGGTACAATATCTATTGCAGTACAGTCGACATGAATTACCCGTTATTCCGTATGATCACAACGGTCAGCGAGTAGATGCTGGTATACCACACTCTCTGCCTGCAAGAAGAAGGAGCTTGGAATGCGTCACTTCACATGAGAAGGTAGTTGATAGAGGCGAGGATGTACAGACAACGTACTCTATCATGACCAGAAACGTATAGAACAGGCGGAGAATATAACAGCCGCGAATTGAGGCCTTTGTGTTCCTAAAGATGCGTCATTCATTGTCGCTCACATCTTTTGCAACGTGATATTCAAGTTTGTCGTGGATCTTTAGTCACGCCGCCGTTGTTGGTCTGGAACTCCGAGTCATGGAACCGGTAGTTTTAGCCGGAAGTCATTCAAACGTCGCAGCATCCTCAAACGTGATGAAAACTCAGCGTGATGAATACTCAACGTTTTGAAGACAAACTGTGAGCTTACATGTTCGTCCCGCCCTGTCCTCATGTCTGCTGAACGTCTGCACAAACCCTAAGTCCAAGGCCATGCACCCACGAAAACTTCTCCAACTCAGATTTATTGACTCCGCAACAAGAACCGCTCTCGAACGAATTCGAAGTGGAGACACAATTCGTGCGGCTCTGTGGCTTCACCTTCGGCCTATCCTCATCCGGCATCCCGACCGCCGCTCCCACTGTGCATCGCGCGCCTAGCTCCGACGTCCGAGTATGCGATGCTTCTCTCATTCGTCAAAACATCTGAAATTGGGAACGACTTGCCTAGGTGAGATGCCGGGGGCCCGTGGGCAGATGTGGGGTTCCTTGCTAGCGGTGGGTTGATGGTGCGGGCTGGTGCAGGTGGAATGGGTGGAGTGACGTCAGGGGCGCGATGCGGGAAACTAAGATTTCGGGCGTGCTTGGCACAAGCGATCGGCGGTGCTTGGTGGCGGGTACTGAGATGCTTAACAGCGAGAAGGATAGCGTGGGGGTGCTTGATGCTGTGAGACCTGGGATGTTGTTGTTGTTATTGTTGTTGTTTGAGCTCAATGTTTGGTGCAGTCGGGACGATAGCGTACATGGACGGCGACGTATTGAGGCCAGCACCTTTCACAGCTGCAACATTTTAAAATGCGCAGGCACCGCCGGTAAGGTCAGGCCCACAATTAGTATTGCATCACTACGCTGTGAGAGGCTAACCCGCCGTTGCTGAAGCCTCTTTCACGCGCGATCCAGCGTAACGCGACAGCCGGTCAGCAAGATGCTGTGATATGACGTCTGGCGACCTGTGATACTTGACGCGCAAAGTCTAGCGACGCGCCGTGTTCGTATGCACCTTCATTTATAAGAATGCACTCTGCTGCCGCATGTTTTTCGTCACCCCGACTGTCTTATACCCCTTGACGCTATTCGACGGACCCCGCAGTCAAAATCGGTTCAGATATCTGGGGAACCGTGGATGGATAACCTCGAATTACACGGACACAGTCAAAGTCGCGTGCTTCTAATGCAGCCCTGTACAAATCGCGAATAGACCACAACACCTACAACAGCACCATAATATCAACTCAACATGGCTTCCGCCGCAGAAGTCAAGCCGGAAATCCACGACCCGGAGACTGTCCACAACAATGAAGCCGCCCTCCATGAAAAGAAGGACTCGTCAGAACTTGGCAACGAACTGCGCGAGAACCCCGGCAGCGGCGCAACACGCGACGATGACCGCGCCCACTACGAGCAATTCGGCACATACGACCGCTACGAGATGACCGAGGAGGACTGCTACGACGAACTCGGCTTCTCGTTTCCAGAGTGGAAGAAGTGGATGATCCTGTCCATCATTTTCCTCGTCCAGGTGTCTATGAACTTCAACACGTCGCTGTACAGCAACGCCGTCGGCGGTATCTCAAAGGAATTCGGTGTCAGCGCGCAGGCAGCGCGTGTCGGTGCGGCCGCTTTTTTGGTCGCGTATGCGTTTGGATGCGAGCTGTGGGCGCCCTGGTCGGAAGAGTTGGGTCGTTGGCCTGTCCTCCAGCTCTCTCTGTTCTTTGTGAACGTTTTCCAGATCCCTGTAGGCATTGCGCCCAACTACGCGACTATCATTGCGTTCCGTACGCTTGGCGGTCTTTCGACTGCTGGTGGCTCCGTCACCCTGGCTATGGTTGCTGACATGTGGGAACCTGACAACCAGCAGTACGCTGTCGCTTTCATCGTCTTCTCGTCCGTCGGTGGGTCGGTGCTCGGTCCCATCGTCGGTGGCTTCGTTGAACAGTTCCTGGCATGGCGCTGGAACATCTGGATCCAACTGATCTTTGGTGGTGCCGTCCAGATCGCTCACGCCTGCCTCGTCCCTGAGACACGCACAACAGTCCTGATGGACCGCATCGCGAAGAAACGCCGTGCGGAGGGTACCAAGAACGGCAAACCCGTCAACATCTGGGGGCCCAACGAACTCACGCCCTGGAGAGAGCGCTTCAGCCTCCACGAGATTATCACCACCTGGGTCCGCCCATTCCGCATGTTCCTGACCGAGCCTATCGTGCTTGTCCTGTCCCTGCTCTCCGGTTTTTCCGACGCCATCATCTTCATGTTCCTGCAATCGTACGCTCTTGTGTACGCACAGTGGGACTTCGCAACCTTCGCCATCGGTCTCGCTTTCGTCCCTATCGGTATCGGCTACCTCTTGGCCTGGTTCTCTTTCTTCCCCGCCATCAAGCGCAACGAACGCCTCCGCAAGGAGCGCCCTGGTGATGAGATTGCACAGTACGAAGCGCGTCTCTGGTGGTTGCTGTTCACCGCTCCCTGCCTTCCCATCGGATTAATCATCTTCGCCTGGACATCGACTGGTCCTCCGCTCCACTGGATCGGCTCTATGATTGCTTCCGCTATCATAGGTATCGCCAACTATGCCATCTACATGGCCACCATCGACTACATGATCTGTGCGTATGGGCCATACAGCGCCAGCGCGACAGGCGGCAACGGGTGGGCTCGTGATTTCCTGGCTGGTGTACTTACGCTCCCCGCTACACCGTTCTTCCAGAATATCGGCTCGAACCCTCTCGCGTACGCTTCGACTATTCTCTTCTGCATTTCATTGCTTCTGGTCGTGTCAATTTATGTCATCTACTGGAAGGGTCCCGTGCTGCGCATGAGGTCGCCATTCGCTCAGCAGCTTGCTGGTGCCCGTGAAGAGACCGGCGGTAGGAGAGCTAGTCACCTGCCCGGTGTATACGGCTCAAGAGTCAACTCCATCTCGGGTAACAGCCAAGCTGGCATGCCCAACTCAAGGCGAGGCAGTGTTATCAGGGGTGCGAGCTTTCAGGGCAGACCGGGTGTTCAACGCGGTATTAGCTCTTCGAATGCGTACTAGATGTATGGTCAAGGAGGAAAAGTGTCGGAAGGGCGAAGATTTTGTTATAAGATATTGTAGCTTTATTGTTAATGAATTGAAGAAAATGAGAAGTGCTCACACCAGATTTGGATTCTCAGTTTGCAAATGTTTAGAGAATGTTATCAACTGTTCGTCACACACCTAACGACTGCGGAGTTTTTGAATCCACATCGCTGACAACCTTCGCGCTGTCGACAATACAAGATAATTGCACAATTGATCCAATGGGGAGTTTGTACTGCGCGGCTGCTCTTTCCTGAAGATGATACACTAGTCCGTAACAATGCTAGTTTCTTCCCCACGCCTCGGTTTTGTGCCGACAGCTCCAACGCGACTCCGCATCTGCGCAACGCGAAACTCGAAAGCTGCTCGCGAGGTCTCACAATGCTCTTCATACAGCTCACTGAAGCTTGTATGCTTCACGGACGTAGGGGTAGTATGAGAACAGCTGCCGTAGCAACAGCTCAACCTCCCTGAACAGCAATATGCCATCACAGCGTCCGGTACGCATTGCAGCTATGCTCTACCATGTTCTGCACATGTTTAGAGTATACTGAGGAAGGTATCAGGATGCTCTGGTTCGACAACAGACCGGCGCAACGCTATGACATTGCTAGCTTAAAACTATGAGAATGACCCCATTGACGTACTCGTAGGCGATTAGATGAGCGAGGCGAACATGACGGCTCGCGCCAATGTCAAGTTGAATGGTGAGGGTTCATATTCTGTACTCGCTTTGAGTGGGTACTGACATGTTGCAGGCCAGATGGAAGCATACGAGCCAACCTTCCTTGAAGCCCTCGAGCCCGCCCTGCCGCACATCGCCAGACACGGCATCAAAGTCGCCATCAATGCAGGCGCATCGGACACGAAGATGTTCCATGAAGCAGTCACAAAGATGGTTACTGCGAAGGGCTGGAGTTGAGCGTTGCGTGGATCTCTGGCGATGAGGTGCTCCCACAGCTTCTGGAGGCGCAGAAGAGAGACGTGTCGCCATTCAAGAATATCTGCATCGTGCAGCGGCTGGACAACTGGCAGTTCGAGCCTATATACGCGCAGGCATACTTGGGGGGACTGGGCATCGCCAAAGCGCGCATGATGGAGTGCCTTATCCGCGTGCAGATGGGTAGATAACACCACAAGTGAGAACGCCGCTACGGTCGACTTTCGTGTGAACGATCAAGCACGCAGAGCCGAAGACGTTACCCCACCGAAGTTGTGCGGCCGTGTATTGATCCCATCATGTGTGCGTACTCGGGTGCAACACCGCATCTCGAGCTTCGACAAGCGTTTCACAAGAAAGTCTTCGAGTGATAAGTCACCCTCCTACCTCAGTCCGCTGTCGAGCACAAAGTTCATCTTGCATCCCGGGAGGCCATCAAAATCTCACCACCTTTAGATACAAAGACTTGGTCGAAGCAATAGCCCACGCAAAATACTACAGCGGCGCCCAGAGATTTGAACAGCTTCAGCGCTGCCGTTCGGGCACCCCTAAGCATATTCGTACACGCACGCTCCGGTGGCAAAGGATCAGACTTCAACGTAGGCTTCTGGGTACGTCATCAGGACGAGTATACGTGGCTGCAGTATTTGCCGTCGATCGAATTCATAAAATAGCTACTAGCTGAGGAGTGCAATTGCAAGAGAGTCGAGAGATGCGAGTTTTCGGGCCTGAAAGCGGTTCGTTTCCTACTCAGGGATCATCTGGATTGAGACGTGAGCTGCACGACAAGTGTCGACTTCTTGAGGAAGAACTATGCTAAGTTTCTGAGGGCGAAGGTTGTAGATGTTCCTATGAGGTTCTTGGCGAGAGGACGGATATACCATTCAATGCTTTCGTCGTAGCTCCTGGCGCAGCACGTCTTTTCCTATACACCTCTTTGTCCTTACTCGGTACCATCAGGTGTATCAAGGAGCCACCAGCCGAACTATCAGCCATCACAAACTCCATCTCACCAGCCATCTTTTATAACTTACTCGATGCAAACACGACATCCTGGCCGAACCGTGGAGATGCGCTGCATAAGGCTACAACCCCTGCCCCGAACTTCGGACCCTTCCGCGGTTAAACTCTCATTGGCCAACTCGTCCACTCCTTATCAGCTATCTAGTGTTTACCTCACCAGAACCATCAGCCTTACCACCACATGTTTCCTCCACGCCCAGAGCTGAACCAATTTTGAGCAGCCCTCAATCGATGGAGAGCAAATCATCGTCATTCTTCAGTGGGTCCAAACGCTAGAAATGCTCCGCAACACCCACATAACCCGCCGCCGCCCGCCAGGCCCCATCTGTGCTTATCAGTGCACGCGAAGAAACCGGCAAGCAGGCCAACCACGACCATCTGATGCTTGTCTGAACCTTCCGGGGTCATGTGCATCATTTCTTTTCTGGTCTGGTTTCTTGACGTGCATATCTTGACTTCGACGTTGGGCTATCTGTAACCAATCAGCAGCGTCTAAACCATGCTGTACATCACATCCCAAAGACGATGCGATAGCGGTCGTTAACAATTCGTTATCATGAGCTGACCATGGCGTGGATCGCCGCATGTATAGATACCACGAGGGCCGTCGATCTGGGACGACGTTGAACCCAACGGCTTCACGCGACACACATCTGCATCTAGCGACATGGCAGGCGGTCCCGCACCTACAGGTCCTTCAGCCTCGCCGTTGGGCCAGGCTTGGGGTTATGGTATCGTACTTGGTATTGGGTTCTTGTTTGCACTTGGCATGGTATGTTGAAACCTTCGAATGTGTTGAGGATGCTAGGCTGATGGACGGAACAGGTCTTCACAACATGGGTGCTCAGAAGATACAACAATGAGTTGCAGACTTCCGAAATGTTCTCGACGGCCGGTCGAACTGTCAAGTCTGGTCTTGTCGCTAGCGCTGTTGTCTCGTCTTGGACTTGGGCTGCGACTTTGCTGCAGTCGAGCAGTGTAGCTTTCAGATATGGTACACGCTATCATAGCAAAAGTTCAAATATGTCATGACATTGACGACAACTAGGTGTCTCCGGTCCCTTGTGGTATGCCGCTGGTGCGACCGTACAAATTCTGCTGTTTGCAACTGTCGCCATTGAGTTAAAGAGGAGAGCACCGAACGCCCATGTAAGTGCAGTCATCTTGGCGAAAGGGCTGTTGTATCCTGACGATTCACCAGACCTTCCTTGAGGCAGTTCGCGCACGCTATGGAACTGCCACCCATTTCGTATACATCACATTTGGTCTCTTTACTAACATTCTCGTCACAGCTATGCTGCTCACTGGTGGCTCGGCTGTCGTATCTTCTCTGACCGGTGTTCCTACCGCCGCTGCTTGCTTCCTCCTCCCTCTCGGTGTTGTCATCTACACGATGTTTGGTGGTATTAAGGCCACTTTCCTCACCGACTACGTTCACACCGTCATCTTGCTCGTCATCATCCTGACCTTCGCCTTCACGACCTATGCGACCGGAGATAGACTGGGATCGCCGAGAGCTGTGTACGATGCGCTACAGGATCTCTCATCGCATACACCGGTGGTTGGCAACGCTGGAGGAAGCTACTTGACCATGAGGAGTAAGGAAGGGGCCATCTTCTTCGTCATCAACATCATCGGCAACTTCGGTACCGTCTTTATGGACAATGGATACTACAACAAAGCCATTGCTGCCAGTCCGGTCCATGCACTACCTGGATACATTATTGGAGGTAACATGAGCTGAAGGAGGTCAGAGGTAATCAGTAGGCTGATCAGAATTTAGGACTTTCGTGGTTTGCGATTCCCTGGCTTTGCGCAACAACAATGGGTCTCGCCGCTCTTGCTCTTCAAGGAACGCAATACTTCCCCACATATCCGGACCCAATGGCCGACGCAGACATCAGCGCCGGCCTCGTCCTTCCTTACGCCGCCACCGCCATTCTTGGATCTGGAGGCGCCGTCGCGACCCTTTTAATCGTCTTCATGGCCGTCACCAGCGCCTTCTCCGCGCAGCTCATCGCCGTCTCATCCATCCTCACATACGACATCTACAACACCTACATCAACCCCAAAGCCAGCGGCAAGCGCCTCGTCTACACCTCGCACACCTGCGTCGCCGGCTTCGGACTCGTCATGGCCGCCTTCTCCACCGGTCTGCATTACGCCGGCATCAGCATGGGCTACCTCTACCTCTTGATGGGTGTCATCATTTCCTCCGCCGTGCTCCCCGCTACCCTGACACTGATGTGGAAAGGCCAGAACTTCTGGGCCGCTACGCTGTCCCCCGTACTAGGTCTGTGCTGCAGCATCATCGCCTGGCTCGTCACAACCGCCAAACTCAACAACGGCGTCATCAACGTCGAGACCTCCGGCGCAAACAACCCCATGCTGGCTGGCAACGTCGTCGCGCTCCTCTCACCCGCTATCTTCATTCCGCTCCTGACTCTGATCTTCGGCGTCGCGGACTACGATTGGGTCTCCATGAAGAACATCCGTCTCGTAGACGACTCCGAGGTCGCCGCCGCCGCGCATCTCGACCCCGAAGCCCTTGTTGGCCGACACACCGAACTGTCTCCCGAGGCAGAGGCAGCAGAGCAAGCGAAACTCTTCCGCGCATCTAAGATTGCGAAGATTACCACCGCATCTATGACGCTCATCCTCCTCGTCCTCTGGCCAATGCCGCTGTACGGCACGGGCTATATCTTCAGCCCCAACTTCTTCGCGGGATGGGTCGTGGTCGGGATTATCTGGCTCATGTGCTCCACGCTTGCGGTCGGTGTGTATCCACTTTGGGAGGGGAGGATGAGCTTGAAGAGGAACTTTGGCGGGATGTGGAGAGATGTTACTGGTAAGGGGCCGAAGAGGCATGGTGAGCATATTGAGGTTGTTGAAGGGAGGAAGACGGCGGAGTCGGGCACGCATACGCCTAAGGAGGCGGCAGCTGACGAGAAAGCGATGGAGGTGAAGTAAACTGTGAGAATTTGGAGTTTACAAGAGAGAAACTGGATACACAAGATGATACCCCGGTCGCTCGCTTGAGCGAGAGATGTTTGACAAAGCTGATCGCGTCGATATATTTGATCGAAGTGCTACAAGCTTGACCACCTTTGAACCAATACCTCATAATATGTTTTTCGTGATGTCGACTGCTTTGGCACTTTTGAAGATGATGCGATCCTTGCAGGTGCCGAGCATGGGAAAGGTCGCAAGGGTAGAACAAAATGCGCGATCGCGAAGCTAAGATGTCGAGGCAAAGACCTACACCTTCCAAAATTCGGAATCACCAAAGTAGTCTCTCAGCTCTTCCAACGTTCTTTCAATTTCATTAAGAATCCTCGAAAACATCCATATATAGTCAGCGATACAGTAGAAGCGCGTGAGTAAAGATTGCTAAACTAGAATAAGCCGGTGTTCACAAACAAGTCGCTCGAATCAGGCTCGTGTTGACTTTTGGGTTTGCAACGGAGTGAGCAGTACTTTACATCTTATTGGTCTGCTTATGCTTTGCCTTCGTCGATATGACGAATGAGCTGGTTGTTCTAAGCCTTAGGCTCCTTCCCACCAATCTGATTGCTCTCCCTCGCAATGCTCTGCTTGCCCTCCTTCGGCATCACTACCCTGCTCTCCGCCCTCCTGTTATCCTGATCCGCAGCGTACTTCTTCAGGACATCCAGGCCTACGATATCCAAAGCATGATGATGCGTAGCTTCAAGCTTAATCCTCGGTACGTCGTCGATTCCCGCATCGACCGCCGCTTTCCAGGTGTTGACGTATCCGCAAAGGCGTGAGCCCTCCTTGATCCCGGACTTGCGCAGGTCAGTACCCTGCTGTTTCGACCAGTCAAGGAAGCTTGATGTGAGGTTGAGGGCGAGAGGCATTTCGCCGGAACACATGCCGGAGCTGTAGCCAGTTACTTGGGTCTTGGCAGGCGAGGAGTGTTGGTGAAGAGGTGCGTTGAAGACTACGTTTCGTTAGTGAATATTACTTCAATCATGAGAAAGTATTGAGAGGGATGTGTCTAAAGGCGGTACATGCTTTCAGAACGTAGAGTACTGGGAACAGGCACATATGCTGCTCGGTGTACAATTAACGTTGCGAGAACATAAAATGCTTACCATTTTTCTGCGTCACGTCGATCTTTCCTTGCTCGTTCTTGCCTGACATCTTGTGATCTGGCTTTCTTTCGTGTTCGTAATCCGGTCAAATGACTGTTGTGCCTGGAGCTACTTGAGGTGCGATTGCGTGTGAATTGAAAGCTCAACAGCGATTTTATCGTGTATGTTTATGATGAATGACAAGAAAGCTGTCAATTGGTTTTGTAGCTCGAGGAATGCGCGTTACGCCTTACTTGTTCCTCGCGATGCCATTGTCACCATGATGCGGTCATGAGAGAGTCTTTGACGTCACTTCAGGGTCTTTGGCGTCAGGTATCGTGTACGTAGATCGCGCTTCCCCAGGGTGCCACTTATTTCAGCCTCATCATTCTACAAAGTAGTGTGCATTTCAAGAAATTGGCACAAGATGCCGTTATTATCGCATGTGGTGATGGTTTGATGGCACGGAGTCTGGAGGAGATCGACCCCAGATCTTCACTAGGCCAAAACAGGGAAAGCGTCGATTGTGCTACAGCCTGCGGGTAGGGCTGACCACCCGACCCATATCTTCCAACCCTGTCCACAACATATGTCTCCAGAGACTATATGGACTTTTAGTACCGAGTGTCACAACTCTTGAATGCCGCTTTGGCTAGGAGACTTCCGACTTGTCACAACTAGCGGCTCAGCCTTGGAGCATGTTCAAACAATGCGGGACCATTTCATCAACTATGCGAACGGTGCCAGGATCTCGTAAACATTCTTTGGACTTACTTCGATACTCTGCGTAGAACAGACAGCTCCGGCACTTCATGTTCTGATCTTACCTTCAGGTTTGGTACCATCAAGCGTTTCAAGCCACAGATCTGCCACTTTTGTGCAATGATCAATGTTGCGGTGTATATAACCTTTAGGACCCGAGGGTCAAAAAGGTCGGCCTTTTTGTATCGCAGCGGGGCCGCGACAATCAATAATATCCGAAAGAGTCTCGTGTTTAAGGGGCACCATCAACTTTGTGAAGATGAGTCTATTGAGCTCAAGAGAGCAGGTACGATCACGTTTCAGGCTCCCTACCGCTTCGAATCATCTTCGAGGATGAGATTAGCAGTAAAGATATTATGAGATTCAAGTGTGTAAAGCTGTGCTCATATGACTGTAAGTGATATCCCCGTCCAGATTCAACATAAGAGCTTATAGGACGGTCGTAGTGGGCGATACTCTCCCGCTAGAGAGGCCATGGCATGTCGCACCCAGGATGGAACGCGCCAAGAGCTGGATACAAGATTGTCTATGCAACCACGAGATTTGGAAAGGCGATACCGATGCATCTAACAAGCTCTCTTTACGACCCAAAAGAATCTTGGAGCTTACAGCAGGGGGTATGGTCGTCCTGCGGGACAGCAAAGCTATTCCATAGTCCTATGAGTACATAACTATTAGCCACATGTGGGAAGCCACCCAGAGAAGCAGGTCAGACTACTTGAGTCGCGATTGAAAGAGTTTGAAAACGCTATACTGGTGCACGAACTATCGCACCTGTACTGAACGGCAATCGCGATGACTATCAGTCTTGGTTACGAATACTTGTGGATCGACTTGTTCAGAGTCCTTGCATTTTGTGAAAGGCTAATGAATCCGAATCAGGCCTTCTGTGACAGTTTATGGAGTAAGGAGGTCATGTGTGCCACGTGTTGGTGCAGTGCTCTTGCTCTTTCTAAAGAGCACTTTCTACCCCTGGCTGAACAACAGATACGTCATGTAAACAGACCCTGATGGCCCGGTGAGAGGCAATCACAGAATAACAAGAACAACACAATATACTGATACTACTGCTTCACGCGGTTCCACCCTGACTTACTGCCTTGCGCAGTTACACCTTCATTCACTGCAACTACTGCAGTACCTTCTTATCCGACATCTCACAAGTTGGGTCTGGGACGAGACAGAAGCGCACCGCGACACAATTTTCAGAGCAGACTTTGGCTACCATCGGCATCCACACACCTATTAGACATCGTTAGACCGGCTCAAGTAGCCTTTGTTTTCCCGAGCCTGGGCGTTAAAAGATTGTCCTCTGTGCCGAAGTACCATCATGGTTTTCGAGCAAGATCATCTTCTGGGAGTGCGCGGAGCGCAGGTGTGATGAATTGATGGGAGAATTGACGTACGAGGCCCCACGATTCAATCCGAATGCTCTTGAATCCCCTACTAAGAAAACCCACTGAGAAAAATTCCTCGACGCACAATCTCTTTGTTCAAGGCAGAAAAGAAAGAATCTCTGGTTCAATATCGTCCGCGATTACAAAAGCAGGGCGTTGACGAGGGAAGATGACAAAATCATGGCACTTTCTGGTGTGGCTAAGGTGTTTGCGAGGAGACGCCATCTCACATACGTGGGGGAATTGTTCTCAGAGCATATGCCCTAAATCTTACTTTGGTCTAGATCACTTGAGGACAAAGGTGATAAAGGGGTTGTCCGGCAGAAAGTAAGTGCGATGGTGTCCGAACCGAATAGTACTGCAGCCCTTTCCCGGTCATGGCTTTCACAACCTATAACCATAGAGCAAAAGTGGCTCACATTGTGCAAGCATTCCTGCTACTGCTTTGTTCTCCTGGTTTGGGAGAGCAACGCATTCAAGGCCTGACACGACGTATCACGAATTCACTGGCCTCCAGATGGTCCTCAAAGCTTCTGCTTCGCCGCGACTGTCCTTGGCGAAGACGCTTCTTTCAGGCTGAAAGGGCTCTCATGCTTCTTTGTTGATGGTAGGCCGCTTGTCAGTGGCTTATCTCAATCCGAGTTCCAGTCTCAGTTTTGGTTGCCCGATAAGCGGTCAGATATGCAGTCACTGGCAATTGATATCCTGGTGGTAATTTTACAAGTAAACATAATCCCTAGCGGGTCTGCTGAAGGTCTGGTACTTGTCCCAGACGTTGAAACAGACCAATGGAAACGAATCGGCTTGTGCGTGATAGATTTCCACAGGGTTCAAAACTGACGCCAGTACCGCGTCCCGACTAGCTAATGATGTGGCGCAGCTGCTTGAGCGTCACCAGAGAACGATTACCTTGGTTTGATTGCTCCAATCTGGCGACTTTGCAAGACGTTAGCTCTTGCTGAATTTTTACGAAGCGGAGGGACGAAGTGACGGAATAGGTGACTGAAGCCGCGTTTGCCGTAGAAGAGCGGGAAATCTGATTGGCTACTGCTAGCAGTCCCAAGGGAAGAACCGATACGTCTGGTTGGCGCTAAGATGCAGGAGTCGGCGGTAAATGAAGGAGAAGCTGCGTAGATGAAGGCCGGTACATCGTGTCCTTCCTGTTGTTTCTCTTGTAGTGTTTTTTTGTCGACCATGTTCTTTACTCCACAGGAACGATTTCTACAACCTCATTCTACGGTCTTCGCTACCGACTCGCACCCTTTGATTAGCGTTTCTACGTATCAACCTGGTCGTATAATTTTCTCACAATGCGAACCATCTGACCGCTACAAACTTTGTGCTTACTTGGTTAAGGTTGCGCCTTCGATCTTACAGAGGTCCCTACTAACGAACAGTACGTGCTTACTGAGGTTCAAGCGAAGTGATTGTCGTTGATTCAATGAGAGCGCAGAATCCCCGCCGTGAAGACGCCTCGAAAGCTGTCAGTGTCAGCCAGATATCACCGCAACCTTTCCTTTACTGCAATCAACCTTCGAATAATTGATACAGCATCCTGCATCACGAGCTCTGTAGTCTTTCGGAGCACCGATGCGTTCTACACATTAGCTGTTACGGTTTGGGGTGCTCCTGCCTGTTGTACCTCACCTCCATGAGAGTGACTGCCACATCACACTAGCGTTGTTTACAGCTACTTACCTATATATACTGTTTGTAGCTTCACTCAATACAACTCCAGTACAATCTTCAAATTCTTCCCTTTGCGTACAGTTCACTGAACTCTGACATTAGCTGTCCAATGGGCAATAAACGATGGAAAATAATGTATGGAGCAACCTGGATCCGCGCTCTATACCTGTAGATTTGCCCAGCTCGTGCCAGAGTCTGCACTTAGATAGGTTTTTAGCCCGTTTGCATCAAGCAGTATTCAAGAGCACCGAGATCCGCGCTATCACCCAATCCAGTAAAGCGCCCTTTCTTCATCACCAACGCCACCATTCCCTGCACGGCATCCCCAGCGCTCGTAGCTCTCTCCTAGCCGTCGTAGCCACACCGCCCAATTTCCGTCCAATAGCGTTCCTCTTGGCGCATTTCTCCAACGGCTCTCCTGCATCTTCTGACAGCTGGGCATGTCTTACATCGGCACTTTCAACCTCCGATTCACCGACACGCCAGCCTTTCACCTTACGCATTTTTGTGCCCAACCACGTCACTCACAAATGCTGCCTTGATTAACGTTTCCCGCAGATCATCACGTTGTGCCCTTCGCCTCGGTGACCAGCGCAGGATCGGCGGTTAGTCTGTGGATGATTTGGGGGCTGCGGGAATGCTGCTTGCCGCGGGATCTGCTTCCCGTCCTCTCAAGTCACACAAACATTCAACGTTGTTGCATTCGCATTTGCACTCGCGCGTCACACATCACTGTAGATACGCATGCAGGAGTAAGGCACAACATGTCACTAGTAAGGTTCATACCTGTTGTGGAGAACAGGTTGGAGATGAGGTACAAATGTCACGAGTCAAGGTGATGAGCTTTGAGATGATGTTTGTGCACGGTGGACTTGTTCGGTAATGGTCGGCGTACCTCTCTCACCAGCACAACCCTGCAACAACATCGCGTTAGCGCGGCGTGCATGAATGAGATGCAAGCAAGCTCATATCATGATCCACCTGATCTGTTCATATTAGCTAGGAGGTGGTCAGTGACAAATTGGCCTAATGTATGGATACCGGAAGCCAGAAGGTTGGGCGAAAGTTTAGAGGATGGGGAAATGACGTGAGTGCTGCGGTTAATGGTCGAACGTTAGCCTGGAGGTAGTCACATTATGATTGATGCTGATGCTTATACTGATGCAATTGCTGTCATCGTAAGGATGCGGTTACTGTGTTGCTATGCTCGCTGTACAATGATGCTCATGTTTAGCTGTCCAACTAATCTGGTTCGCTGTCCAGCTGATCTATTGTCTTAGGTCGCTCCAAAACTACATCAGTCGTGAATTCTTCGACTCCGGTCGTAGACGCTTCTTTGACTCGACCATGTCCATATCCTGCAAACCCCAGGCCACTTGACGAGTGAGGCTGAGAGCGCAGAAAGTCTACCCCAGCCAAGTCAGTGAGGCAAAGTTAGGCTGGAAGTTTTCACGACACTCAACCGTGCAACTTTTGCCGAATCTCCGCAACCACGTTCTTGATCCGGGGTTCCTTGACTTTGCTTTCGGCGCGAGTAACGGCGTCGCCGATCTGCAGGATGTCTCTACCAGCCTCGCAGAAGTCGGGGCCCAGGGAGAGGAGCGTGCCAGTAGCTACTAGAGCGCGATATATTGCTTCAGAGTCGGTGGCTGAGTTGAGGATCTTCGCTAGGTCGTCAAGTAGTGACAATGCCCGATCGGCATTGTTCTCTGATGTCAGGAGCACCGAGTAGTTGATGTACAGGGTGGTGAGCGCGATGATCAGGTTGCGGTTGCTCGATGTGACGAATGGCGAAATCAGAGGGTGGATACTGTCGAACTCTGTGCTGGCTAGCAGACGGCCCTTCTCCGTTTGAAGCAAGTTGCTGACACAACGAACTGTCATCATTGTGTTGTTCGGTGATGACTCTGCTGAGAAGACACCAGACTCGACGAGACCGCTGACAAGGTTTTGTTCGGGTGACACAAGATATGCTGATGGTTCCTCAAGGGTGAGGGCCAGACGGAGCAAGTCAAGAGCAGGAAGACGCTTGTCTGCGGGCCATTGTGTCGCTGCCTTGAGGAGGAGATCCACACCTGCCAGTTCGACATTCTTGCCGACACCCTTCTTTAGAGCAGCGACTGTCTTGCTCAGTTGCTCGATGTCAGAAGGGTTCAATGAGACGCCCTTTTGGCCATCGTTCACAAGTGCTTGGTTGAATTCCTGCAGTTTTTTGAAAATGACGTCGTGGTTGCCTGTTGCAATGGGCAAGTACTCCTTCTGCGGTAGGATTTTGGGTGCTGCTGGTGTCGGTTGCGGCTGTGATCGTACCTCGTTGGCATCTCCAGGGCGATAGCGTGACTCTGAACCCCATGGGTCTGCTCCTTGTGCGCTGCTCTGGCCTAATGTGGCGCCTTGTGTGTTTTGTACGATGAAGTTCGCGACTTGATCGAGATATGTGAGCGGCAGCTCATTGTCTTCGATGAACTTGCGCGCAGCCTCGTAGTGATTTTGGCTGACATTGTAGGGCAGCTTGAGTGGGGGCTTGCCGTCCTCGATGTCCACGTCGAAAACGTAGTCATACTCCTTGCCGTTGTGAGAGATCTTTCGTCCACCGCTTCCAGCCGAGTCGACAACAGTGCCAATGTTCACCCACTCGTTCGCAGCTGCTGACCACTGGTATGCTGAGATGTTGCCGTTGGCCTCTGAGATCATCTGCACCTGACCCTCCTTAGTGCCCGACCGTTGTGTGAGGAACTCTGGCCCTGGCAGTTGCTCCTTGTTGATGTTGCCCACCGTCTGCTGTGGTATCGACGAACCCTTGACGTCCTCGTTGAACTGCTCGATCTCGGTGGAAGCGGCGTAACGTGCCTGATTGCACGTGAAGACTCGAACGAGCTTGTCGCTGGCTCCAGAAACGATGTCACCATTCTCGGGGCAGACTGCGACTGTCCAGACAGAGATGGCGGGGTGCGTGATGGTCTGTACGCACTGGTTGTTCTGCCAAACTCGCACTGTGCGATCTTCTCCTGCGCTCACGATACCACCGTCGGGAAGTACTGCAAGCGAGTAAATGAAGTTCTCATGACCATGCAGCTCGGCGACCTGCTTGCCCTGCAACATCCATAGACGGATGACAGCGTCGTTGCCTGCAGAGACAAATTGGGCGCCAGAAGGGTGGTTTGGTGGCAGCCGGCACAGCGCTCGCACGACCTCAGGCGCTTGTATCGACCGCAATTGGTTGCCCGAGGGATGGAAGAAGCGAATCTGCTTATCTGCACAGCCGGTGATGACCGTGTTGCTGTCATAGGCCAGCACCGCCCAGACTGCAGCGCCGTGTTCTCCTAGGGTCGTCGACTCTCCCCACTTGCCTACTTCCCAGACACGCGCCTCCATATCCCAGCTGCCGCTGACAATGTACTTGCCATCTTGGCTGACATCGAGGGCGCATACGTTGTTGCCGTGGCCGATGAGGAGGGCGTCTGCGTTGTCCTCGATGCTCTTGCCCGGCTGCCGTACGTCGATGATCTGGTCCTTGCCACCGGAAGCAATGAGACCTTCGGGGAATTGTGATGAAGGGGGTACGATAGCAAGCGAATTCACAAACTCCTTGCCATGTGTCTTGATAATCGTGCTGTCATATGTCGGCGGGGTGGAGGACTCCTGCTTCCATAGCCGGACCGTAGAATCTCGTGACGCCGAGACAATAGACGCCGGCGACGGGAAGGCTACGCTGCGGACGTCATCTTCATGGCCTCGCAAGGTGGCTGATAGCTTGTAGTCGCCCATGGTTGTGCGTGGAGGTATTCAGAGTACGGTGATGGCGCGGGGCAGCTCGGCGGCGAATCTAAAGCGCCGTAGCAGGGCGAGAAAGGCAGGGAAAGCGCTGGACGGAGGTGGAAGGTGTGCGCATTGACTACCTCCAGGGTCGTTTCACCAGCTTCACCTGTAAGAGAGTGCAGTTGAGCGTCGCTGAAGTCTGTTTGCTGGCACAAAGTGTTGTCGCAGAGCTTCGCCGATACCGACGACGTCAATCATCCACCCTGGTCCCATCGCCTCTGCCCGCCGCGGCTAACAGCTTTAGCCAACCGGGAGTGCCTCCTTCAACACCAACACCATACATCACGAAGCACTGTGAGACTGAGCGCGTTGAAGAGCACAATGCCTCTTCTCAGCGTGTAGTTTCACCTTCCAAGTTTCATTGTGCATAGCTGACCACGTGCTCTCACTGCCCAACTGGTCACTTACTGCATAGCTGCCCCCTAACCTCCAGCTACTGGCACTGCCTCCAGCCGGGAACCGAAATCTCCATCTGGCCTCTCTGCAGACCCCTTTTAAACACATACTCGGTTGCAGTACCGACGCCTTTTCTTCGCTAGAGGGATGGCTGCAGCTGTGTATCGTTACCCCACGTAAGGAGCTGAGCTCTAGTGGCAGCCTTGTGAAGGCGAGCCATTCGGCGCAGCCGGTAGTGGCAGCCACACTTCCTCTCAATTCGGAGGCTGGGCAACAAGCTTCTTCGATGGCTATCAAATCTTCAATGCTAGAAGGCCAGTACGCTATTTGATGTGGGAGAGCCACGCTGGGTGGTTCACCGCCAAGTACCTTGGTGTTTGCGTTGTTGTAGCTGTCCAGCAACTGTGGAAACACAACGCAGTAATCAGGCTTCGTCTGACAGGCGTCGCAGCCCTTCTGCAAGGGCACTTTCATCTCCACACTCAACAACATTTGAACGAAAAGTGTTCGAGACAACAACGTGCTGCCGCAGTTCTTCGGAAAAGCACAACAGCAAATAGCCCTCTCGTTGGTTGGGAGCAAGCGTGGCAGGATGCTTTGCTCCCGCTCCTGCATCTGGAGCAACCCCCAAATAGGCAGTGATCACCACTTTGACAACAGGTCTGGACCGGCTCTTGCACTGAACCTCTGGTTGGCAAAACGGCTTCCCTTGTCACTTTCATCGAGGTGCAACGGCTCACGCTGCGAATTTCCCATGCGTGGCACCACCCCGCAAGTCTTGGAAGCGAAGCAGCCCGCCGGTGGACGGCACTCTTGTTTCGCCGATGTTATAGGGTCGACAGCAAGCGTCAATGCATGAACAACTGCTACACTGCTCGATGGTCACGCTGTGATGGCGAACTCTCGTTCAGCAAGCAGAGTCTTTTTGGCGATCAACATGCGCCTTTCTCCTGAGGTCTGCGCGTCGAGAACCAATGCATAGTCGAGTTTGGCAGAATTGGTTCACAGTGCTTCACTAGCTTTGCGCTGCAGCCACAGATGGCCACCAAGAACGTTAGGGTCTCGATTTATGCAGCCTATCCCAGCAACCACGCGCGCTCCAAACAACCACCCTTCCCTGCGCTCTGGGCCCAGCTGGGCGCTATCTAGCAACCAAGCCGAATCGCCTCGTTGACCGAGGACCGCGTGTCAGCTTAGCTTTTGGCTGTCGGCAGAGAGCGTAGGGGGCCCTGTGACTTGTCTAGCACCAGTAGCATGGCCAGATTGCGGGCCTACGCAACGGCCTCTACGAAAGGAATGAAATGCGCCCAGCAACCCTGACGCCATTTCTGGAGCATACAAGAGGGTCTGCACCCCTCGCACTTGCAACTTGGCCCTGCTTCTTCAAGAAACCTATCAGCTCTCGATACAAGGACGTATTCATCAGTATTCCATACACCTATATCATATTCGGCTACAGTTGCGGTTCTTGCCGGTTCGCCTGCCGAAGATCCCTCGATCCTTGCCTACCATCCCCACGGATCAGCACGCGTTTGCCATTGAACGACCTTCACGCGCCTACGTATTCCCGCCAAGATACAAAAGTTTTCGAGTCGCGTCCTGTGCATCTAAGATCTTCCCGCTGCAGATCTGAAGTTTCACACGACTCCTATTAAATAGGCCCTCGAACCCACGCAGAAAACAGCACCACTTCACAACCCAAACACCCAGACTTCACACACCAAAGATGGACTCTCCAACAGTCGAGCTCAGGTCTGCTCTCGCATCGTGAGTAACAGCTCTTTGATTTCAAGTTCCCAGCTAAGTCGTTCAGACTGTTTGAATGCGGCAAGTACTCAGATCTGACCATTGTCTGTGGAAGCAAAAGATACCCGGTCCATCGCGCGCTTCTTGCAACTCGCTCGACCTTCTTCGATGGAGCATGTCGCGGCGGCTTTCAAGAGGCAGCAACAGGTGTTATAGACTTAACAGAGGACGATGCGGAAGCTGTCGAACACATGGTCCACTGTAAGCACCAACTTTCTGTAGGACCCTGAGACGGCGCTAGTTGACACTGCGTAGACTTCTACCACCTGGACTACCTCAACAAGCCCCTGTCACGCCAAAGCTCACAACAATCGACTCGTCCTCAGTCTCCAAGCCCAGTGACGTCACGCTTTACAAGATGCAATCCACCGAAGAAGCTCAATTTGACATTCTTGGACGATCCATTGCTTGCGCAAATGTCTGCTGCAAGCCCGTTGATGCCGCTTACGCCACCCGCCGAAGAGAGCATGTTCCAGCCGCTCAATGCATCGCCGAAGCTTCCCGATACCCCCATGGCAGATCAGTTTGCAGACGACTACATCGAGAGTGTAACCATGGAGCCAGAGGTTGACGTAGAAAGCGCTCATCTTGTCACCCACGCCAAGGTGTACGCGATTGCAGAGAAGTACGTACCACTTTTCGTCATATTCCGCCCCTGACTTTCTTTTTTTATTCACTGGCTTGTCAGCCATCTGTAATATGCGATCGCAACTTTTGTTGTGCTGCGTCGCGCCGCGTTGCGCATCGCGGCGGAAAGTCTCCGACACCCCGCGATGTGCGTCACCAGCATGGTCAGAGTGCCAATCCAGAGTCGTCAGACCTCCCTCCACCCCGCCACACCCCAGCACATGGCCTTTTGCAGTGGTATTGCCCAATCACTGGTTCCTTCATCTCGATTCATCGACTTGCACATCTAGAACGGACCGCGTCACCGTGTCACTTTCTTTCAACCACTCACGGATCTCTGCCGAAGCAACGCAGTACTGACTTACATCACAGGTACGGAATTGCTGGCCTGAAATCGCTTGCGCGCAGCAAGTTCTCCTATCAGATCTCCATGCATCTGAATAGCCCTGAGTTTGCAGACGCCTGCCAAGAGGCGTACGAGTCAACCTTCCACACCGATCGCGGACTGCGGGACGTTATCATCCAGACCTTCCGCGCCAACCCTGATTTGTCAATGCGTGAGGACGTCGAGATGGCGGTCCGCGAGACGCCAGGTCTTGCCTTTGAGCTCTTCCGCATGGCCAGTGGCCTTCCCGTCTCGTCTTGAGGATCGGACCTATCCGGCTTACGAACGTGAGCACGGCGGCTTCATCACACTTCGACAATGCAGTCACTACAGCCATCGAAAGGATCGTAGATCCGATCGATGCATCTCATGCCACAGTCAGAAACAGTATGTATCAGCGTCAAGGCACCATCCAGCGGCGTTCTGGGATTCTGGAGGACTGCTTGTACTTCCATCCATACGGCTACGATCGCTATTCGCTGCGTAGACCTCTTCTGCTCCAGTAGCAGATGGGATTGTCCACTTACTGTGCCTACTTCCACTACAAGGCAGAGCGTGCAGCCCTTGAGCAGCCTAAGCCTGTGCTAGATTCAATTGCACAGCGCATCTGCTTCTCAGCGGTTCCGCTCGATCTTCTGATTTCCGTACCAATGATACCTTGACTAGCTAGATCTTTCTTGCGAACTATGCTTTGTCTCAGCCACAGCCATTCCATGTGTCGATCACAACTGCTTGTACGTTTTGTGCAACTGCTTCAATCATCGTTCGTTCCTTGCCTTTCACGATCTAGCTCTCACATGCACCCCGCAAAGTGCATCAGCTGCACATGCACGTACGTGGTAAGCACTGCATCTATTGAACTCACATTTCAAATTGTCTCTTGGGCCCCCGATGTCCACTGCGACTACTTGCACATACCTCGACGTGGTCTTGGCGCAATTGCAACCACGAAGCTGGCTCCTTCCCCTTCCACCGCGACGTTGTCCATTCGCCAACAACAACACCACATGACAACCTGATAATCGCGAGCTTTGAGCAAACAAACGCACATCCTTGCACTTATCCGTCATTCGATCAGTCAGACCGAACAATATACTACGATGGCCGCCCCGACGGGCTCGATTCACTGCCTTCAATTCAGTATGACCCTCGAGAGTGAAAGGTATCCGCAATCATGGCGGGCACGGTTTTCTCGGCGTTGTATATAACCTCAGTAGCAATACAATGCTTCTTCTGCTCTTTACCTCAATCAACCACACCCCACCGAGTCCCGCATCAACCGAGCCGTCCGAGTCTCTAAGATGCATTCACCCTGGCTATCAGGTCTCGAGCCACTACCCGCGAAGATTCTTCTCCAGATTTTCCTCCATATACCCACAAAGAGTACGTGTAAATACGCGCTGACGAGTCATACGCTACTGGGTCTGGCGCAGAGCGCGCTTTGGGAGTCGGTAGACTTAAAGGATCACGAGTATCATCATCCTTGAGAGTTTAACGAGAGACCATACGCGCCCCCAGCTTTCCTGAGGGCCTTGGAACTACGCCCCGACCTACGAAGACTGGTGTCACATCTCGATGTCACCTTCTGGTGGGCTGATATCATCTACAACGATCCACCCGCCATTCCACCGGAGGAGCCATGTTTGACACCACGGTCGATGGAGGAAACGTTCCTGGGCGCCATACTTAAGTTGAAGTCGCTCTCAACCAGCAAAAAGAGCTCTTCCATTCCCATAAGGGAAGACCTACTTCCGATGTTTTCGATCGTCTGTTCGATCAACACTCTCTGGCTCTGGCCTTTCGCAATTTCACGTCTCTTATCTGGTCAGGTTACCCACTACCCGGGAGCGTAGCTGCCTACCCACACTGAGCCATCTCGATTTGACCAAACACTGCCGGATACCAGACGCCACACATTGGCAACAGCGCCCAACGTTCACTTCGCTGTCGATCAAGCACTCTGTCACCGTACTCACAATAGCTGAAGAGCAAGATCCAACTTTGCATAACAGGTTTTTCTTTGAGTTCCTCCACAATTGCCAGTTTCCTGCGCTACGAGATATCACGCTCTGCTGTGCACACCGTAGTCGAGGCATGGCTTTTGCTCCTGCCATTCTGCCAGCTGCTGCCAGGGGTGTCTTGAAGATCACATATCTGATGTGATTGGGATGAGGTTGATCGACTTATCGACTTTCTACAACTCCCATACAAGCTCACAATGTAACGGGCTACGCCTGGTTAGCATCCTTGGCCAACTGAGCCTCAGTGTCATGGTATCTCCGGCTTGCGGCATGCAGCCACACACTACAAGACTGAGTCAGCTGGCAGCTGGCAAGCCTCACCAAATTCATATGATTCATTCTGGCACCTACCCTCAGGGTCCACCCCTTACAAGTACTGCTTCACATTTGAGCCATACAGTAGTGATACTTGGCTGAACCGTACAGTACTACTGACTGCTGGCAGCGCTGAAGTGGCCGATATCTTGCCACCCAACATGGTGGAGAAAGAGCAGGCACAACTTCTACAATGATGACAGAGATACGCTTCTGATGCCAAAACCTCCAACAAAGCTATGGAAGTCAAAGTATGACTCAGGAGTACTACTCCAAGAACATCCTGCTCAATCACATCAAAACTATCCATCAATTACGCCTTAGTGTTGAGGGAGAGAATGATTGTGTACTCCAAGAAGATAGAGACTTATCACATGGGATGAAAACAAGAGACGACATTGCACAGAGCCTTTGGGATGCGTCTTGGACCACCGCACTCTATCACCCTACTCAATATCCTGATCTTCACCCTAATGAAGCTTGCTGGTTGATACTCAAACAGCGTGTCAAGCGTTGAGTTTGGCAGGGATGGGGATATGATAGATAGAACAGCACTAAGACCTTGCTCAAACATATACTCAGATCAGAGTGTAACAAGATTAAAATGGAGGAAGTCAGGAGAAGGATAATGGAGATACCTAATAGATGTGCAATACTTTGTAATAATGGTGGTGAGAAGATCTGTAGCAAGGGCTGGTAACTGCCACAACACCACAGAATACTTATACATGTTGCAGTATCAGTTGGCCCGTACGAGACCCGATTACCCTTGCCTAGACTGTTCTGGAATAACACGTTTTAAGGCCAGTATATAATCGTCTTTTCCTAGCTAGATAGCAACTCTTCGCAGTATTCTATCGACCCGATAGTCCTACGTTGTCATTTACCGTTGCTATCAATGTACTACAGCGGCCCACACCGCCACATGATCTAGTGTATTACAGGTCAGGTATCTAGTCGTCTTTTCCTGGCTATATAGCAACTCAGCGTAGTATTCCATCAACTCGATAGTCCTACATTATCGTTCAGGGTAACTATCAGTGTACTACAGCAGCCTACGTCGCCACAGAAGATATTGTCTACGCTATCTCAAACCACAATCCATCACGATGTGTGCACCCATTCAGTATTCTCATAGCAACACGCTCTCCCACTCCACTAACGATATCAACATCTCCACAACATCATCCCTCCACGTCACCCTTACCATCTCCTCATCCTCTTCCTCCTCATCACCCCGCACCATCCCACGACATACACTCATCCTCCTTCCCTGTGGCGTAATCAAAATTCCCCCACCCTACTGCTCCACAGCTCCAGAATTCATTCCTCACCGCCCGACCTTCTCCCCACCAAACGCAGGCTCGAGCGAGAAGAGCAAAGTGACACATGCAACGCTCATTGCACCCTTAAACCCCGAGCTCAGAGAAGAGGGTGGATCGTGGGATGGTGTCGTGAGAGTGTGTGCCAGGGAGAGGGGCGGGTATCAGGGGACCAGGTGAACATTGTCGGTGAAGGTGCTACTTGAGGGGTGTGGATGGTGTGGAGGGCTGCTGGCTCGGCGTACATCTTTGTTCGTGTTTGTCGTTTTACTTGCTTTCCGTCTTGTTAATGATGAGCGATACTTTGGCGTTGCTTTCGAGAACCATTGCGAGTCGTGTTCCTGGCCGGATGAGGTCGGGGTGGATGAGCAGAGCGCAGGAGCAGAGAGATGGAAGTAATGTGATAATACTCTTAGATTCCGAACAGGGTATATCTAATAACCTAACTTCCAATGCGTATATGTACCCAGACCATGCGCTCTATATGCGAAATTAACGCCAGCTATGCAAATGGCAAATATCTATACAACCCTGTAGCATACCCCTACTTCTCCCGGACATTGACCCTCAGGTATGGAGGATCCTTCGGCTTACACGCCGAATGCCCATTCTGGTCCACCTTGGGCGGCACACTCAACCTCTTTCCACTCTCATCCTCAAGATTGAAGTCAAAGCTCGCCAGAAAGTACGCCGTGATGATGTTCTGCTCGAGCTTCGCAAAGCGCATACCGGCGCACGGATGTCTCGCAACGCCCCAGCCCAGCCAACCATGTGGGACCTTCTTGTCTTCTTCGCGGCCAGGAAGGTAACGTGCAGGGTCCCAGACCTCGGGGTTCGGGTAGATGGAGGGGTCTTGGTGGACGTCGGCGGTGGCGTACGTGACCACTGCGTTGGGCGGGATGACCTCCATGCCGTTGCCGGTGGGCAGGGCGCGACCGCTAATGTTCTTGCGGAACGCTGTGCCGAGGAGGTTGAGGCGGATGGAGTCTTTCAGGCAGAGGTCAACGATGGGGAAGTCCGCCTCCCAAGCCTCGAGTGGCACATCGTCGAGCTGGTAGCGCAACGGCGCAGTGGAGTCTCGTGCATGTTTGGCTGCAACATCACGTATTTCGTCGCGGGCTTTGGCGAGCCATTCGGGTGAGGTAGCGAGGTAGCACAGGACCCACGAAGCATTGATGCCACTGTTGAGCAGACCTGCGAACAGCGCACCGACGATGAACTCAACGATCTTGTGCGTCCTATCGCCCTGGTCCAGCAGGTACTGTAGTGCGTCGTCGTCCTTCTCGGTGCTCGCTGCGCGCTTCTTGACAATGTTCTCGACGATCATGTATAGGCGGGCTCCAGCGTATGTGCGCTTCAAGACGGCGGGCGAAGGGAACTTGGGCAGTATAATGGACGTGGCTGTGGTGCTGGCCTCGATGTATTCGAAGAGGTTCAGCGTCTCTTCTAACAATTCTGCGTTATCGGCAATCTCGTGGGCGCCAACTATCCTCATTGTAAGGCGAAAGACGAGCCTAAAAACGCTATCGAAAGGATTGGTACGACCACTTGGATCGTTCTTGATGGCTTCGATGGCCTCTTGCGTATCGGAGGTGAGCGTCGAGAGCTTGCGGCGAAATTGGTCGTTCTTGAGAAGCGCAGCCAGACGGCGGCCGAAATGATTTGTGATGTCTTCTTCTGCGCGCTTTTCGGTGTCGTACTTTTCTGTCGGAGGTGCTACGCCAAACAGCACCGCATAGCCCTCCGTAAAGCCCAGTTCGCGCGACTCGAAGAACAGCTTGCGTCCCTCCTCCCCAGTCAATGCCACGATGGTGTTCGGTCCTGCATGGAAGGAGAAGTTGCCTGTCTTCGATTGATCGCGTCGCCGGCGATACCAGTCCCAGCGCTCTGTCCAGAAGCCCCAGGGTCCTGTTACCGGGTAGTTGTCGCCGGCAGCATGTGGCGCATTTGCTGGTAGTCTGCGAATGAAGAACGTATGTACGATGACGAAGACCAAAACGAGTACCGCTGAGGAGAGAAGCAACAATGTAGGCGACCTGACTACGCAACCGATAACGTTGAGGAGAGCCATGCTGTATGAAATTATCTACAACACCAGACCAGTAGAGAAAAAGGCCAGTAAAGATCAAACACGGCCACGGCGGCTTTAGTGACACATTATAGGTAGTACGAAGCCCAGCGGAAACTTCAGCGGAAACATGTCGTCCCGCATGTACCAATGCTCTGCCTCAGTCTGTGCAGGAGCGTTGCGCGCCTGCAATTGGCCTCAGTCGTGCTGCCATCGCTGTCGTAGCGGCGGAGAAATAGAGCGGGATGGAGGCGTTCCGTGTGTGTGACGCGCCGTCGGAATTTTAGATTCGGCTATCAAGTCGCCGAAGCAGCCCGCCAAAGTCACAGGTAAGAATTGTCCTGTCACCTCGTCTCTCGTCCACGCGACAAGCCACCGACATGTGGGCTCGACAGCCTCACCTTGTCTTGACTGGATGCCCTGAGTCCTGCAGATTTTGGGACAAATCCGGATTGCATCGTGTCGGGGAAGATTTGCCCTGGCCTGGTCTTGTTACATCCTGGTGAGACCTTTGTTTCGACGATCAACATCGCTAAAGATGTCGATGATCACTCGGCTAGTCCTGTCTCCGGTACAAAGTTGCTCATATCGGTGCTGTGCTGCCCTGCGGCGACTGTTGAGGTGTGACCTGTAAAGTTTGTTTGCTTCGGTGTTGTGCCCCCTCTTAATGCAGGCCTCATCAAGATCGATATCACCGGCGCACTGTGAGAGCATAGGGAAGTAGCGTCGAGATGAGCATTGCGACAAAAGCTGAAGATGTAGACAGTGCAGTCCTCTGACGAAGTGTAGTTGACGATCGAAAGGAAGCGCACCCCGTGACTTGCGGGGCATTCCCGCGCACGAGCGTCATAGTCATAGTATGGCAAATTGAGATTTCTCGAAATTGAGAGTAATCACAGCAACGTAAGCATGCAACTAGCTGTTGTAATGGGTTTCTTGGTGTTGTAGATGTCGCAATGACCCGCCCCATGGGCCACAAACTTGCTCCTACAACACTGTAGGCAGTTCTTCATTGTGTTGAAGCCAGATGGAGTAACGCTTACTACTGGTGCAAACTTGATTCAATCAAAAAATGTGAGCACCCAACAGAACCCTCCAACCCAAGGGCAGTAATTTACATAGAGGTTTGCATTGAAGGCAGGGCGCAGTTACAATGCCAGGAACCCAATGGGTGGACATGGACATCTCTACTCATTGACTGTGGAGCTGTAACGGGGTTACAGTGCTGTAGTGAAGTAGGCTGTCACGTGTTGGGGCAATGGCGCTAACCCATTGGGACGCTAGCGTGGTATGGGCAAGAGCGCATAGATAATTGGGCACACAATGGCCAGGGAACGGTAGCAATTAATCTTACAAGACCACCCCCCATTGCTACTGAGCTTGCTGTCACAGATACCCTTACAGGAGCAGAGATCAACACTATTGATGAGAAGTTTGCAATGCAGAATAACCTAGAAGAGTCTCAAGGAGCAGTACTTTTAACAGTTCAGCTCCCTGACTCCACTAAGATTGCTTGTTTCTATGCATATAAAATTACCCTGAGGCAAAGGGTTATTGGCATGTAATACAACAATTCACCACCACCTTCTATGTGTCACGAAGATGCTACGAGTAGGCCCTTTAGGACTCGCTAGGAGTCTAAATCAATTACTACATACGTTATCTAAGTAGGTACAAGACGTTGTGTACTGAACAGAACTCTACCAGCAATAGTCTATATACTTACGTGTGGGTTCGTTCGGTTACCGGTTAATAATCGGAACTGAGTTGGATAGGTATCGGGGTTGCAAGTCCCGGAGCGGGGCTTGCAGAATCCTAATACTCCCGCTTCAGAGGTTGCAGGCCCGCTCCGGAGGTGACCAGAGGTTGTACGTCCGCTTCGGAGGCGCGTAAGGACACTGGGGATTTGGTGCGTACGGTCAGGGACAGTACGGAGCGGATCCGGATATTGTCAGGGGATCTGGAGAGGATACCGTGACACTATGGCATCAGAGATGTAGCTCAACCCATCCTGTTAGGTCTCTTGGGTTTGAAGCAAGCACGCATTGTAGTTGACTACAAAGCTGTCATGGGTATATACTGTTTGGTTCCCAGTATCCATATCTATTGGGTTACTGTACCTTTTTGGTCGGTGTAGCTGAGGTGGGACCAAGCCAAGCCCTCACAATTCCCATACTTGGTCTCTGTTACGATCCTACGTCCCACAATAGGACGACAAGCAATAAGTAACCGCCAACCAAACACGGGGGCCTGGGGGAAGGTGCAGCAAGGCAAGGCCGCCCAGCCGGCGCCTAGGGGAATGCTCTCAGCCGAGCTGACACACGTGACAGAGCTCGTCAACGAGCAAGGTCACGTGAGCGCTTGTCAACGAGCATGACGTGGTGCTCGTCAACGAGCATCGTACCATGTTCGTTGACGAAGAAGAGTAGATCCATTGGCGCATATGCACACCAGGAGCATCACCCACTCTGTGAGAGGGGGCCAGCTAGGGATACCAACTGCTCTCTGAGATGGAAGGATTGGTGGAAGGAAGGTTCAGGCTTGTTGGAGATCAGGGTGTAGAGGAGACCAAGTGTGGGGATACCACAAGTGGTAAAAAGGATAAGTGATAAAGAAGGGATCAAGTGTGGGGATACCACATAGGATCA